ATAATCTAATATCTAATATATTTTGTTGTTCTCTCTTTCTATCTTTCCAATTAAAAAAAAAACTTTTTCATCATCTAGATAGGAAAATAATAATAATAATAATAATAATAGATATCATTATAATATTATTATATCTATATAATAATTATATTTTTCTCGGTCGCATAAAAAAATGTGTTTCCAAAAAAAGTTTACAGACGTGTTTCCGCTTGATGCAATGCAAATAATGCAGTAAAACCTTAACTGCAGATATTATCGAATTTCAAAAGGTAAGTATGTAACTTCAAGGTAATGATAAATTATTCATTTTATTACATTTGTAGTAATTTATATATCATTATTATAAATTAAAATACAATTTCAAAATCTCAATTAATACGACCTAAATGTTATGTGACAAATATATGCATGAATTAGAGATTTTACTACTCAAAAAAAATTTGCATGATAAAACATGTTGAATTTTTTTTCAAAAATACCTAATTTAACCATATGTAATTACTTATGCGCAGACGGTTTATTTGCTATACGCAAACGACTGAGGCAGTAGTTACCGGTTACCAGTTTAACCATACGTTATTTTCGAGACTTAGTTTTTCATAGTACTCATTGCATAAATATTTTTGCATAACATTTTCAAAAAAATTTCTATACTGGCATATTATTGAAATTAGTAACCGAACTTCATTGACCCAGAAGGCCAGACCCTTCCTAACTCAAAATTACCGGTTACAAAACAAACTAATTTTTTTTTTACAAAACTTAAGAATATATTAGTAACTCGGACACCTGCATGTTAACCTATACTCGCAAAAACAATAGTGATTTTTAAATTATTTTTTATGATAATTGTAACTATGAAAAACAATTATTTAAAAATGTTGGGTTGAAAAGCGATAGAAAAATTAATTCAGACCGAAAGCTTCATTTTATTAAATTCTGAAAACATATTTGAATTCCTTGTTCTCTACTCTAAGTTTGGTGGGAAATGGATTTTCGATTTGTACCAAATTAATAATTAATTTTTTTTTTTTTTGTAAAATTAACTTTTACTGCTGTAAACTGTAACGTTACTATAAAAAATATAGTAAAAAATGCATTTCCCACGAAACACAGACTAGAAGTCTGAAAAATCAAATAAAAAATTTTTTCAAAAAAAAATTGGATACCTGGAAGTATATATTTTTTATTGGTAAGAATCAGTGGTTCTTAGAGTAAGACTACCCGACATAATTTGTCTAAATATCTTCTCAAAGCAATTTAAGCATCATATACAATTAAAAAATTGTATGAAGTAAAAGAGTGATAGAATATAAAACTGATAATATGTCATTCCCTCAACATTTTATCCACTATAATTTTTGTAAATGTGATTTTACTCTAAGTTACTCAAAAATCATAAAAAGACGATTTTAGTTGAAAGCGTTTTATCAATGTTGTGCGTGGGTCTGAGAGAGAAAACAAAAGTATTGCACTGAAATAACGCACGGAGCTCATAACAGTCATAACGATAAGTGTAAGCAGTGTAACAGATAGTCAAGGTACCAGGATCGCAGCAAGAAAACGTGACGGCCACCGGGCCCCCGGCCGATCGCGGCTAGTCCCGACGGTGCAGTGTTGCGGCGGCGGCGACAGTAGTTTTGTTCCAGCGATCGATGATTGCATACACTCCTAGTGCAAATATAGATCAGCAGCCGACGAAAATTGTTTCGTCACGTCGGTCACGTCGGCCACGTGGTCGGGTGGTGGGGATAATGACTTTTTTCTTCGGTTCCACGTAAGTTAACGACGGAGCGTTGTGAAAAAAATTAACAGAAATGAAAATAATTACTCGTCATAAATGTTTTCAATATTATTGAGAATCGACTTCTCTTGTGGCAGGGCTATATTAATTATAATAATGATCAATAATTATTGATTCGTAACGTTTAATGTCTGAAAACAGTTTTTGCGCGGACCTCATTCATGTAAATAATAAATTATTATTAGGGCACTGACTTTAATGTCCTAATACATTTAATGCCTTATACTATATAACATCATTATCATATACCCAATAATGTGTATGAACAGATTTGAGATATAGCCGGGGATTGTATTATGAAATATTCTGACTAATTAAAATATTTAAAAAATAAAAATAAAATTTTTTTTCATGTTTCATGAGAGTTTTTGTTCAATCTGTTTCAAAATAGAACAATAAGAATAAATTGATGGAATAATTAAAAGATCATTTTAATTAGATTAAATTGTAGACTGGACTGTATAGACCTCCCAGTGAAGGTACTACGACAATAAATAATAAAATATAATTCAAATATTATTAATTAATCTTTATTATGATCCTAATTCATTAAGAGACTAAGATCGGTCCTAGAAATCTACCCCTAAAATAATTCTGTGAATAATAAAACAGATAACATAATATTGTTACATACTTATTACGTATGTTTGCGAGTCTCAGATTTGGTGAGACGAAATGATAGTTTATTTTCAAAATATTACCAACAGAGAGCGTGCCAGCAAATTAGTTACCTAATACGAACATCATATTGTCATCATCTATATTAGTCAATGACTTTTCTTTTAGGCTTAGATTTCTACGACTGATGAAACTATCGTAATATGGGTAAAATATTATTATTAAAATCATTTTCATTATAAATGCACTGAAAACAATTATCAGTGTAAAATATTTGTCTACAATACAAATCTTTCCTTTTATAGTTTTTTTTTTTTTTATTTGTATGAGATAATATACAATCTATACTGTATAGGCGTATAGCACAATAAGTATATGTCAAAAGAGTAGTTATACATGAATAACCTTGATTAAGAAGTCACCCTATGGTAACCCTTTAAATCCTTTTATCGTAAAACCAATGTTTTGGACTTGGTAATTAAACTATTTTTGCATAACCAAAGTCAAGAGGTACAACTGCTATACTAGCTGAATTCAATTCTATAGGGTAAATGCATATAATAATATTATATTATTATATTAGCCACATCACAATGAATAAACATGATTATTTAATATGTTGTTATCGTTATGAATTATGATAGTGATAATTAAAAAAAAAGTGTTTTTAAAACCAATGTCATTTTAACTGCAGTCTATTACGACGACTTCGAATATTGAAATAAATAAGGTGTTATGACGAACTTTATATTATAGTTACTCTCCGTTTGTAATACCTAGCCGAACCCGAGTGAAGACTTGTGTAGTGAGGAAACAATAATAATTATTATAGTTACGTCGCAACATTTGTAATGATTACATTCGCATCAATCACCTCGTATACCGCGATATACCACGTTCACGGGTGCAAACATTTAACACGAAAATCATGTATGATCGCGGTGTTGTGTACGTTAGCAGCTAACACTGTCATGTATATTTTATTTTAATTTCAAACCCGTGAGTGGTAAAATATAATATTAGGGCTTGCTTATGACATTATTGTGATCGTCATTGCTTAAATGACCAAAGACAAGGTTACAATGCCGGAATTATATACGACATGTATCTATAAAAATGAAAAATAACACTAATAATATTGCTTGTTTTTCGACAAAATTGAATGATTGTCATAATTAATAAGTGTACTTAAAAATTAATGAGTTTCGTGTATACATTTAATTACAAGCGACACGAATTCTATGGGGTTTTGGGTTTTTGTTTTACTCTTCGTCGACTGTTATATAATATTGTTTGAATGCGATACAGTAATTCTATATGACTATATCCCGGCGACAGTAACACCACGATTCTTCACTATAGTCTTCATAGTTACCTATATCTTATAGTTTTTTCACTATTGTTTTCAAATCGTTCAAGGTTATACTAACAATATTATGGTTAATATAAAACAGATAAAAAAAAAATAGATAAACAGCGATAACAGTAAAAAGTCAGTATCTATCTATATAAGTAATCTATATACTTAATTATGAGTAAAGACTGATGCCTAATTTACTAGGTACACAATTTGAAAATTTTAAATGAATGATAAATTTAAATTTTTTGATTTTTATATACACTTGTTAAGTTTTCTTTAATTAAGTTTTTTAAAATTAAAAATAATTCGTGATGTTCATCTTATACATTTTTTTTTATGTAACCTACCAAAAATTTCAATAAAATCTAAATCAAAAAATATATAATAATTATAAATCCAATCAATAACTATATACATTACATATATACAATATTAACTATTAATTACTAGTAGCTGAACTTATTCATTTATTAATTAATTTATGAACACCATTACTATTCATTGGATATGATCCATTCAAGAAATTATTATTATTTTAAAATGGTTCATAAAATATGTCCACACTTCATACTAATAATAAGTTAATTTTCATTTTAAATTTTGTGATATTTTTATTGATAGCAGTTGTTTTTCAATGTGTTGAACATCCAATATTTTATGTTCTGATAAAAATGTCAAACTATAATCCAATCGATATTGTTATTTTAATCGAAATTGTTTTATTTTATTTGTGTTTTAGTATTTTATTGATCATTCGTCTTTATAACTAATGTGTAGAAATTAAATTATTATGACTAATAATCTAAAAAAATTAATATAGGTTTATCGTCACAAGTGTTACAAAATTTATTATTATTATTGAAGTATTGGTTTTTATGTAAAATAAATTCAACTAAATAATAATATTTTACTATACCAACAAGTTTACTTTTCGGAAGCTAATTACGGATCGTAAAAAAATACAAATAAATAATAAGAAAAATAACAATAATTGAACAATTAGTTACAGTCTATAATATAAGTGCATATTTTGAAAATAGTTATGTGAAACAAAACACCTATTACTAATATTAGAAATTAATCAAACATGAAATTATAGTGAGTTGGTATAATAACAATTTTCAATATCACATGTTAGTTATATTTTTGTAAGATTATGATACATGCACGACGTAGTATTTATTTAATCGAATGTATTTCTCGTTTGACGAGAATTGCTTATCGATTTTTCGGAAAACTCCATACCGTAGGTGTTCCATTCACGTTTTCCGGATGAACTATTATTGGGTTTGGAAGGGTATTAGAATTTTCTGTATTGTTTCCGGTAGGGGTGATTTGCGAATCGGCCGAAGAACTACTGCTATCGCCGTTGCCTGTGACATCGCCGAAACGACTGATCGCTACGCTTGGAAGACCGATTCCGACTGGGACCATGACACGGGGAATGGTTCCAGAAGATTGTACGTTTTGAATCAATGTGAGCAGTGCAGGTCTCGGTGTGTTGCTTAGCAGGAACGGGTTGGCCGACAGGTACGCTAGGAAAGCAGTCAGCAGGGGTGTGAGCAGGATAGAGATCAAGCAAGGCGACGTGTTCAGAGTGGACACCAGTGAGGTGACTGCCGAGGGTGTGAGTGTGGCCAGCGCGGGCCCGGCAGCGATAGCCTCGAATAGCGCTGTGACGATTGGGGCCGGAAAGGCGCACAGGAACTTTGGTGACACTAAGCACAGTGCCTCTATAAAAGTGACGAGCGTGGAAGGTGGTAGCGCCTGGAGAAGGGGTGGCATCGAGGACAGCACGGCCAGGAACTTGATCAGCGTGCATGATAGAATGGAACCGAGAATGGCGGGGGTGGACACGAATAATCGAAGCAGTTCGTTGAGGACGAACAGCGGCAGGGCGGCGAATAGGTTAGGGAACTTGACGAGCACGTCGATAAGACCGTTGAGGGCGGGTGGTGGTAGAGACGCGAATGCGTGCTGCGAACCGAACGCTCCCAGAAGTGCTGAGGCTGTGGCTTGGGGCGTGTCAGACAGGACGCCTGGTTGTGCCTCGGCAATGGACGTGATCAGGTGGACGAGGGTGGTAGGTCGGAGGGATTCGAGTGCGGGCCGCGAAGACCCGACCGCCACTAAGAAGGACAGTAAAAGGCCTGGTGGCAAATGCTGGATCAGATGCGGTGACGACGCTGCCTTCACCACGACCGTGTTAAGCGTGGGGCCGGTTAATGCGTCGAGGACGCACGGTGCCGTGGCGGCGATGCGTAGTAACGAAGCTATCACGGTGAGTTGGAGCTCGTAAACGGTTTTGGCGTTAGACAGCGGTGTCAGAAGAATGTACAAGGCCATGGGTGGTACAGCACAAATTGACTTAGGGCCAGCCGCAGCCAGCAACGAAATGATGATAGACACGTCGACCTGTTGCAGCGCAGAAGGCGTCAGTGCCAGGATCGTGCAGAGGTCAGCGAGCGTGTGAGGCGGCAAGACTTCGGCCATTAGTGTTGGCTGCGATGACAGCAGGCCCAGCAAGCATTCAAGCGTGGTGGACGTCATGGCGTCCATCAAGCGCGGAGACGTGGACAGGGCGGTGACGAACGCAGCCAGGCACTCGGATGGGAGACATCCGATCTCCGACCGAGTAAATATCAACTCAAGCAGATTGGCCAGCACGGCTTTCGGTACAGCACACAGCAGACACGGCGACGCCAAGTGCGCGGCCGCCAACAGGTGAATGATTTTCTCGCGTGACAACCCGGCGAACCGGCTCGTCAACGTCGTCAGTAAGTTGACCAACACAGTCGGCGACAACGCTGCTAGCAGCGCGCGGTCCGCGGCCAACAGGTCTGCGAGGTTTACCAGGTCTGTCAATGTCAGCCCGTCGATCCCTCGTTCTGAGGATGTCAGTGACTTCAACAGCGCCACTGCTGCGGTCGTCGGTATCGAGTTCGGTGTGACTTCGTTTACCGCCAGTAAAAACCGCATGAAGCAACCCACTGGCACGAACGTTCTGAGCGGTTCGTTAAATGATATTGAAATCACTAAGTTGGTCACATCACCGGGTTCCAGGTCACTCAGTGCATTCTGCGACGTCGACAGATATTCTAAAAGGTCTTGTATCGTCTCGTGGTCGAAAGCAGATATCAGACACGGACAAGTTGAGATAGCGGCCAACAGTTCACCCAGACACGGAGTGCTCAGGCCGCGAAGCACATCGAACGAACCTAACGATTTGCATATGTTGCCGATAGACTCCGGTGGCATGGAACACAACAAGGACGGCGACAGTAAATTAATGGCAACGATCAGTTTGATTTTTACTTCTAACGGTACAGCGAATGGGGATGCGGTAATCGCTGTCAACAGAACATTCAAGTTTTCCACGGACAGATGAGCTAAGAAGCAACGGTCTTTGGTTAGCAAGCCCACCAAAGTCGTCAAGTCGGCGGGTGGTAACGAAGTGATAATCGAAGAGTTGTTCTCTCCCAAGAAATCGGTGAACGAGCTTATCACACTGGGTGGTAATGCGCAGAACACACCGCCCGACGTTTGGTTTTCAATTAGTGTCAGCAAGTCCAAAAGCGTCGCAAACGGGATATTGGACAACATTTCGTGTGTCGTGAAAAACTGCGTTAGTAAGTCCATGTAAACTCTGCTCGGAATTGCTTGTAACGCGCCGGAAACCGAAGTAAGCGTACTGAGTACGTTTACCAGCTGAGTACTGGACAGCGAGGACGTCAGGTACGGGGAACAGGCCATACAGGACAGCAATCTGGAATAGTGAACGGAGTCTAACGCCCTCAATGAGGACACTGAATTCAGGAACGACAACAGTTTCTGAATGTTTTCGGGCGGAATCTCTCGCAGCACATAGCCGGTGCCGGCTATGGCGTGAACGAAATCGATAATTTCCGACGGTGGAATGGCGTTTAAAAGCGTATCGTTGGACAACACGAAGGTCACTGTTAGGTTGACAGGACTGGTGTTTAGTTCTGCAAGAAAGCACTGGTTTTTGCACAGGACGCCAATCAACTTCACGCTTGTCTCGATCGACAAAGTGTCGGTCACCTCGGGCGATGTCAATCGGATCGCGTACGCTGACCGGACGCATGGAGGTACGTCGCACATCAGACGGGGCAACGTGCACGCGATGCCGTAGAGCAGCCCGATGATCGCGTCCTGGGAAACGGCCACCGCATGCGACAGGTCGATCAGCAGTTGGACGAGCACGGTTGGCGGGACGGTTAACAGCACGTTGGCCGGCGAAAACGCGGTCAGCAGCAGAGCGACCGTGGCCGGGTCTAACGAGCTCAGTGAGAACGGCGAACTGGTCAAGACGGCCATCAAGCGGGCGAGAGTTGCGGCCGGCAATCGGTGGGCAGACGCGGCGAAGGATGACAGCAGGGCGTCGACGACGTCTTGTGGAACGCCATCAATCAGTGCAGGGGCAGTCCTGGATAACAGGCACAGCAAGTCGACCGCTCGCGTGGCCGATACGTTGTTGGCGAAGGTCGGCGATAGCACTATAGTGTTCAGAAATTCGAGGAAGTCGGCGGGCGCCGTCGATCCGACTAACGCACATTCTGCTCTCACGAATACGTCGACGATGATCGAGATTTCCGCCGGTGTCAGAGTGCCAAACGCGGTCGGCGACAGCACGAGACGGACCAGAGCAGCCCTGACGGCGGGCGACAACGCGCACAGCGCAGTCGGTGACACCTTGCCCAACAGACAGACGACCGTGGACGGACGCAACTCTTCCACGATTTTCGGGCTCAGCACGACGGCGGTTATCAAATCACAAACCGTGCGGTCGGGTACGACTTTCGTCAGACACGGGAACGCGCACAGAGTGTCGATCAGACACACCATGTTCAGTGGTGCGATGGAGTTCAACAGCGACGGTCTAGTGGCCAATTCGTTCAAAATGTAGTTGACCTTCGGGGGCGGTAAAAAGGACAACAAAAAGGGTGACGTCTTCAGAGCGTTTATCAGCAACACGATGGCGTGCACGCGCTCGGTTTGCGCCAGATTTGTGGAACACAACAGGGCCAGTTCGGACGGGGACAGGCCACCGTACGTGCGACTATCGGAAGAAGTCGACGGTGGATACCTGGTGGCTGGTAATAGGAGTACAGGCGCAGGCAAAGTCGTGTTGTCGGCGCAGTCGAAACCCTAAAACAGGCAATATTAGTATCATTAAATTATTAAGGGTCCTGCTCTTGAGTCTTTATTAAGGGGTATTATTTAGGCAATATGCAATTTCGTAGCTGCCGCCAACATTAATGTTAGTCGTCAATGAGAGTGAATTAGTGAGAGTGTGATTGTACGCGGGTACCGGGCAATCTACGCACGCGCTGAACTCGCTCATAATATGTCAACGGCACCACCGACCAAAAATATAAACACTGTTTTTTTGCTCAAAACACTCTTTACAGGAAAAATTATCAAACATCATCGTAGAGTGATAAGATTTTACTAATTTTTTTTTGTTAGTAGGAGAATAATTTTGGGGAATATTTAACTTTGGTTTTCAATCAATACAACAAACATAATAAAAATCACAAAAGCTTGTGAAAATTTATCATATTCAAAATCGTATCGTATTGTTTAGAAATAGTCCAATGACCCTTGTAAGAAGTATTTCTGTTTCAAAAAAAAAAAAATCATCGAAATCAGATTAATACCCAACCAGACTTGAGAGTCTTCTGTAAGGAATGTTTTTGAGCAATAAAATAGGTCACGTAAAGACCCCCTAAATAATATTATAGAAATTGTTGACATTTAAAATGCATTATATTTTATAAGTACACATCAACGTCATTCGGTTCATCACGACACTAACCATGTGCACATAATATGCAGGGCTACACTAAACATTTAATGAATCAATAGTCACTTAGACAAGATTTAGTGACCAATAGTGGTTCATTATATTTTAGTGAACCATTAAATGTAATCCATTTGTATGCCTATCATTTAATGGACTGCTGATAATCACTATTAATAATTCCAAAAAAGAACTAACAATTGGTTTATAGGTCTGAAACGTAGTCGTACTTGTCAGTGTATTAATATTAACTTAAGTAATAGGTAACGACAGGTATAACTGCATTGACTATATGGTATTAAGCGTGTGAGGTTGATTATTATTATTGTTTTGTTTTTGTATTTATTTATAGAGGTTTTTGTATCATTTGTTATTTGCTGGTAAAAAAATATTGAAATTACACTAAAAAAAAATATGTTGGCAGCATCTAACTCTTCACTTATACTGCTTTACTGACTCTTAAAATGTTCAAACCATAACCTACAGGTCATCAGGTGTCAATAATTTAAGATAAACTGGATGAGTTAAAATAAAAAAACATGTATGATGATCCACAAAATACGCACAGCAAATTCCGAATTTATTTATTTATGTGCAGAACAAGTCCAAAATATGATGAATAGTTTCAGAATATTATAAAGTTGATTACAAAAGTGGAATACTGCACGGGTACGATTCAGAATTTATTGATACCTACAAATTGTTATTGGAAAACAGTCAGGTAGGTATTCGGTGCTTGCATCTTTGCGGTACATATTAGTTGGATAATTGGAAAATAATCAATATATTTCGCCAACAAATGAATGGGTATTAATTGGGACAGGAAGATAAGGGAACGCTTCCTTTGGGAAGATAGTACCATTGATTTTATAATAATTTATAGATAAGCCATCCGATTAATAATGTCAGCAAATTGTATTCAACCACTAGGTTTGTTGCATTTAGCGCAATGCAAACGGACACAGCTGCTAACCTAGTGGCTGAACGCAATTTGCCACATCCAATATTGACTGTGATGGGCTACGAAATCCTAAATGTCATACTAGTATTATAATAATGTTATGTATCTCGTTGCTATTGCAAAATATCATTGTATGTTCACAATTCCGAGTAATCTGTGAAACCAGCTAAACGTAGGTTTCTTAAAAGTCATGGCCGTAGTTCTTATTCTGTTAGTATTCATTAATTAATATTCACAATTTCGAACCCAGCTATCCACATTTTGACGAAAACGACGACTTTCCAAGACAAAAATAATTACAAGGACAAATTCCTTTAGGCGTGGAGTGCTAAGACAGTACAGCATATTCAGATATACCATAGCCGTTGTGACTTGAGCACTTTTATAATTTTTGCTTAAATTGAAATGGAAATAAATTATTATTTACCTTGTTTAATAATAATCACTGTCTTTCGATATTATTATAATATTATACATTCTATTTTACAGGATACACCGAGCACCATGAATGTCAAGTGAAAGAAATAAATGTGTTTTTTTTATTGATAAAAACAAATTTTATTTTAATAAACAATTATCGTAAAATTTCCAAGGGAGTTGTTTTGTTGGTTTAAAGTGTGACAGGGACTCAGTTATTTTTAAAATATATGGACTTAATTAGCATTTTAGTGAGTACGTTTCAGAAATATTTGTTCTTATTTCAATCTGGGTTTTTGAAATAGGTAAGTTATAATATAAATATAAATAAAATACCTATGTAACATCTTACATAATAATAGTAAAATGAGGCCTAATCGTAAATAATGTTTTAATACTACATTTGTACCAGAGAGCGACCTTTTCCAACAAATGAGTTACACAAAAAAATATTAAATATCTGGAAATCTACCAATATTTGTTTAGGTATACTACTATTTATATTATTAAATGCAGCACAATAATAAATTGTAAAATAATATATTCTTTTTCTATTATGTCTCCGTCTAGAAACCGCATGTTTTTCTTCGCTAATAAATACTTTACTTTGCTTATAAAGAGTAAAGCCAGTAAAGGTGTGTTAAAGTCTTAAGGGGATCGGTGGCGGTGACGACTGTCTTTGTCTAACACACGCGCAACATACGAATTCAGAGGTGTTTTTCGGCAAACGTACCGATTAATAAAGTGAAGGGATAAGAATTCTGAAAACAGATTTGAATTTGTCGTCAAGTCTACTTGAGATCGGTCAGTCTACATTTTTGATTTTAGATTCTGAGTGAAACGATAAAAAAAAAATTAAAATTAAAAATTAAAAAACATTCATCGTTTCACTCAGAATCTAAAATTAAAAATGTAGACTGACCGATCTCAAGTAGACTTGACGGCAAATTCAAATCTGTTTTCAGAATTCTTATCGCTTCACTTTATCAATCGGTACGTTTGCCGAAAAACACCTCTGAATTCTTATGTTGCGCGTGTGTTAGACAAAGACAGTCGTCACCGCCACCGATCCCCTTAAACTTTAAGATTACGCACGTGATGAACAGATATTACTCATATTAAGTATGATTAATTTATGGCGATCGACCAATATTTCTCCAAAGATCGAGATCGACTGGTTTGGGACCCGTAGCTGCTTTAGAGTACTTAAGGTACCTAACCTACGTTATTTGCTAAAAAATATTTTTTTAATTAAAAGATATTGACGTGATGATATGATGTAATTTAATTTACTTGGCACTATCTAAATAGTTTTAGGCCGATCATTGTGATTTGCTCTTCATTAGGTCTCGAGTCTTTAAAGTACATATAATAATGACAGCTTACCAACATGTATCCATGTCCACCTATTGATTATCTGGGATGCTGTCTACAGGTTATCACTATAATCGAACATTATTAATCTATTATGACAGCCATCAATTACTGTTTGACGTTAATGAAAATAACATTTTATGATTTTATATTCTAAAAAATAACGATGCCATGCTATAGGTACACCCGTTTGCAGGTATCGTTTTAGATGTTACCACAACGCATAAAATAAAATAAATATTAAGTAGTGCGTTCGGCCTCACAGGAAACTGCTTAAACAAATATTATCACAGTAGAAATAAGAATTTATAAATTTAAAAAAACATATAATGGTTGAAAAATGTATAGATTGTAAAAAAAAGAACCAAAATACATACATATTTTAAAAATAATTTAAATAAATAAATCCATTTAAAACTAAAAAGCAATATAATTTAAAGTTAATATTTAATTTTGAATTATGAGACATTGTAGAATTTTACATTATTTCGTATGACCTTGGATGACATACATCTTATTGGCATACAATAATTTATTGCTAACTATCCAAACAAAAAGGCTACCCGGCTAGAATAATAGGTATTCTTCGAAATTTAATATTCGTGAAGACGTGAAGTTATCCATCACGAAGGACAAATAATAAGTAATTACACATATATTTGCTTACGTCTATTTCCTTGTAATAGTTTTTATTTTCTCTAAATTTAATGTGCATTTAAAAAATATATTACTTAGTTATTATTTGTACCTAAATAATGTTCATACCAATATTTTACTTATCACCAGTAAGAATAATATTAAGTATTATATTAATGCGCAACGAATTTTTAACTATGATACTACCGCCAAATCGACACTGTAGGCACTAGGTCAATATATTAGTGTATTACCAGAACATCAAAATTAAATTTAATATTGACCTATAGCCCACAGTACTGATGTAACTCGAGAGGCTTTCAAATCTCCGCCGAAATTAACCAGGTTTTGGCGCTTTAATAATATAACGTAAGCAATACCTAAACCCACTCGCGTTGTTCCACGAGAAAAAGTACAATGAATGTCCACCAAAAATAAAAAAACAAATTCTTTCAAAAAAAATTTAAGACACGTAGTTCCTGACCCGCCAAGCGTTGATTGGCAAAAGTACCTAATAAAGTAGACAGAGATGACAATCGACTATAATATTTATATTATGGCGTTCACTTATCAAGGGTTCGACTAACCTAACCTATACTCTTATATAATATATTTTTTATATTCACGCTCATTAATTCATTACAAATCGGTTGTATTACATTATTGTAGAATTTTGACAGTATATTGATGCAATATTATAACTAGGTATTCAAAATATATGGGTCTATATGGGTTCTATATGGGTCTTTTGATTTTCTGTCTAGTCCACCGATTTAAAGTATGGTAATACATTTTGGTTACCGATTGATGTGAAGGCAAACTTAGATTTGATTTAAAAAAAAATATTCTTTTTTTATGTTCCTATTAGATTGAATGCGTAACAGACAACACAGTATTATAAAATCTGACTTATGATAAATGAGTACAAAATTTATTTAGTATTTTATTGAATTAAATCATTATTATTTTATTTTATATCACTATGCAATGTAATATGTATAAGTGGCCTGTGGCGCTGTGGTTGACTTCCGTTACTGAAATATGTTCTGAAGTCAAGCATCCACCGGTGCCACTAGTTCCCGGATGGGTGACCACCCGAGTTCTATAGTGACAAATCTTTGTCACATATCCACACGTGTTCTTACTAACCACACCCTCCCCAGCAGTTAAAAACCTACTAACAATAACCATACAATGGTTGCGGGTCAATTGACAAAAAAAAAATGTACTAAATAGGAACGTTTATCAATACTAAAGGTACCACATAAAACATTTTTAAATAACGAATCGATAACCATTATGTTTTTTCGTTAATTCAAACGGGCCTTTACGAATGAATAAACTCGCATTATTATAGAAACCTATCTATTCCACGACGCAATATTGCTTTAAGCGACCGGTTCCACATAAGTAACCTAATATAATATTCTAGTTGAATACGCACTGATACGTTGGTAGGTGCACACATATCATACAGTAAACACTTCAAAACCGGAAATTAAACATGTAAGACAACACGGAGTACTCGATCGCGTGTAATAATATTTCGATATAATTATCACAAACACCAATGAGCAACACTATCGAGATAAATGAACATTCCCTAAGTCCATAATGTTGTGGGATCGCTGATAAAAAAATACACCAATACTATAAATAGGTACCTACCTACCAATACATATAGTTTGATAGCATAGACGCTTTAATACAATTAGTTATCGGGCTGTACTATAGTTTAAAATAAACTAAAAAATAGCCATTTATGGGACGTTGACGCGATTAAGGATTGAAACGAATTATTCACAGCAGCTTATATTTTCCAAGTCGGTATCAATGTACAACATGCAAAAACGTAAAATAATAATTATTAGATTATGAGAAATGTCGGGTAAACTAATGAATTTGTATTTATAAAAACAAAATATAAAGGTTTAGGCGATAAATGCGTAATATTTATCTCGGATAACGTAGTGCCTATGCATAAGCGCCTAAATATTATACGTCATTCTACAAGTTTAGGTACCTAATACGAATAATTATATTAATAACTAGCTACCCGATCTTCCTCCGGAAGAAATTATTTTTTTATAATTTAATTTAAAAACATAAGACTATTTTTTGGCTGTACAAATAATTCAACGATTAAAAATTTATAAAAAAAAAAGAAAACGACATGGTTATCGGTGAATATATAATTGGTAATTAGTTAATTATTATTATTATTATTATTATGAGGGTTAAAACCCGGTTTCCTTCGTCTCTAAAATCAAGTTAGATTCTTGTATATATATGAAGATAGATAGATAGATGATAATATTTTACTTTTCAAAAGGTCTGCGACAGACGAATTATGAAATCTTAAATAATAATATTATTGGAGACAATGGAAACCCAATTGGCTCGGCTTCACTAGCTGAACATACTTATTTCACATACATATTTCAAACCGACAACAAGTCGCGGACTATGTTTTTGTTAAAACATTAGGTCGATTTTAATAATAAGATCATCACTCACCTTAAGCTTCAACAGCAATATTACCGCGCATGTGATTGCCGTTAATCGCTTCATTTTTATTGTACGCAATTGTTGGATCATTCATACATGAATGTCCAGGTCCAAGATTTGACATGTACTTATAAATAAAATATCGAGCAGTTTGTGAATTTAAAACGATAATGGCGCCTATTGTCCGATAATGATGAACAATATTGTTGACGTAACCATGAAAAGCGCAGTGAATAGCAATGATTTTTATCGTCAGTATAGCTATCAAAATTTCTTTCTCGATAATATTCTATAATTATATTAAATCAGAAAAAAACCGTATAATATTCGTTTGTGAGCTATACAAATGAATAAAAAATATGATCTACTGCGGCCTTAGCTGAATTTTGCCTGTCTTAGTCGTTCTGCGACGGGAGTGAATGTATTTGACAAAGATTTTAAAAATGTCAAAATAAACAAATAAACGTCAGGCAGACGGCTTATTGAGAGTTGGCCTGGCGTTGGTGTATCGGAAGAATGACGTATGTTTTAGAAGGTTTTTAAACTATTAGCCTAGGTACCTGTACACACTTGACATTACCCATACCTAGGCAAAGTAAATATTATCAGAATGGCGATTTATTTCGTTTTTTAAATATTATAAGTAATGCCATAATATTATATAAAAGTAGTAATGGTATCATTTATAACTGTAGTTACGTCTTGTCTAGTTTTCAGTAAAAACTCGGTCCTATAAATACTATACTTTGTGAATGCCACTGACTGGACATTTTTGATTTTTTTTTTTTAATAATTCAAACGAGTCAGTTTTTTGAACGTGAAATCTAGTCATTGCGTCATATTTCGTTTTATGAGTATTACAAATTTATATCGTAGGTACACGTGTAAGCATATACTACTGCAGCAATAGCACAAATCATGCCTACTCGTGTATCAATAAACAAACCCACGTTAGCTGATGTCTTATAATAACATAATATTAAAAGTATATTTACTCAAATGATCCTCGTGTTTATTTTTGATTACAATTTACAAATATTTAAATACTGCTGATTACACCGCACAAACATACAGATGTTAAAAAAAAAGTTTGGGCCAGTCTTTAATGTTGATGGATTTTTGGTATTTCTTTTCACAGCTCATAATAAATGTTCTGCAAAACATTTTAAACTACACAATTCTGATGAAATAAAATCACTACAATCTATAAACCGCCTATTAATTAATACAATATTCTTAAACATCCGAGCACGTCCAAACAATTGTTTAAGTTTTACGTAATAAATGTATCAGATTCAGATGTTTATTATATAGCCACGTCCGGATCTAACACCTGCAATTTATTAGCTTATATAATTTTGTTTGTCCCGTGATTGAGAGACCAAAATTAAATCCTTAATGTGTCAGGAGTTATTTTTTATAAGAAGTATGTATTAATAGACATCTAATTTCTAAATCATTTAGTTAACATTACTAGGGACATTTATTGTTCCGTTTAAAATCACTTTAAAAAACAAAACACATTTCCACACTGCTCTTTTCTTGAGAATTATTATACCAGGAGTACGTGAGTACTGCGCAGAGCTCTCAAACGTAAAATCATATAGGCATTTCAGTTAATATGTTCAATCCAAATATCAGAAGTTCTCTGATATACTATGCGCTGATGAGTGGTGTCTGACGAGTTTTCTCTCCAAATGGACCTACGCATTCCAATATTATTATTTATTTATATACGCGCAGTGAGCTTACAGAAATATAATACATAAATAACATTTAATATTATATGATATAAATGTATTAAATAAACTTTATTCTCTTACTTATGATAAAAAAAAATCATTAAAGACAAATTCTAGGCTAGACGACTAAAAAAGGATTAAGAGAATTACACTCTCCCTTAGCACCAACCTGGGGCAACTTCCCCTCTCCTGATCTAAATCAGAATTTATCATTACATCAAATTTCGTAATACCTACTTATTACAATATTTATATAATTATAAATATATAAAAAAAATATTATTTACAGATTGTAAATTTACTAGATATGTTAATCATTCATTATAAATGAAAAAATACGAATTAGGTTTCTGATACGTTAGCACAAAGATCGAATAGGATAGGTGTTAATAGTGTTAATATGGGAAATCGTCGAGTTGAAAATCTCCCTCGTTAGCAATCAGATAAATATATGAAAGATAACAGAAACAAATTAACATAGTCTGTGAACTGTGATGGAATAAAATTAAATTGAAAAAACAAAACTAGAAAATATATTGAAGTATTATAATTTAAATTATAATACCTTCAACGATTATAAGTTGGTTTTGTTGTAATAAATTATGAGCAGTATTGTTTTTTTTTTTTTAACAAAATATGTAATCATATTATTTATGACCAATGGCTATCTAATGATGTTAATTTTCTTAACTTATAAACTATAATCTTTCTACATGGTGTTATAATAATTTTATAATTTTGTGGGCTTTTCTAAATATGGTCACAAGCCTCGGATGACTTGAATTTTGATGTGCTTATTCAGCTGAATATTGTTTTATAAGACATAACTATAACGACAGTATTATTCTACGGTTGTCTTTACTTAATTTGTTAGACTTAAAATTCAAACAATACATTGTCCTCTACCTATAACAATGGTTTGAGCGTATGTATAGTTTTAGATCAGAGATGAAAAAATGGATTAAAATGTAATCAGCATAAAGTTTGAAATCTAACTTATATTAGGTATTATTTAAGCATTATTTTACTTTATAACTTATAAGTTAGTTCTTCAACTTTTAAATATTCAAAAATAATATGTTTAAAAAACATTATCCGTGGTTTGTGAGTACTGTGTATAAAACAATTAATTTGAACGGAGAGAAATATTACTTATGTCACACATAATTATGTTTTCTTAATAATACAATAAAACGTTATTTTATTTATAAAATGTATAAAATTAAAATGTTTTATTAAACAAATACTTCATATGGTTTTTGACTTAATAATTTTATAACCGATAAAAATACTATAAATTAACACCTACCTATATGGTTTTACTACCTATATAGAATAACATATTATAATTTACATTATGAAATTTTATTCAAATAAATTTTCCCGATAATATATACAGTTAAAAATATTAGAAGTACCTAAATACAATATTATCTATTTAATATGTGAATTTTATTTTATTTTTTCATGTGGACCAAAATTCAAACGTTTTTTGAGGATGCGTATACCAAATGTTTTTCATCACATAAAAGTAAAACGGTTGTTCTACATAGATCACACGATTCAATAATAATATTATTACGAACAACTATTAAATTGTTTATAAGGTATTTAAATATATGGATTAGCGAAGTTGTCAATTTCAGCATTTCGCTTACACATTTTAAAAATGTATTTTATAAATGCGCAGCTGTGATTAATCCTGATAAATCGCATTGGTTTGAAAATTAAAAAAGCATCATAGTATATGAAATTTAACATTTTGTGTGTGTAATAAAGTTTTATGTTGAGAAAGATACATATTTATATCAAAACAAAATATTTAATTTCAACACACTTGAACTGTTAAACATATTTGGTTACAGTAGTAAAGTATAAAAAGAAATACATAAAACGTGTGGTAACAAACAATCAATCAACTTGGAGTATAAAATATATTTCGACATACTATTGTAACTCCACCGTGATTTCTAAATTTAGGTAGATGCCTATACTGTATTTTAAACGTTGAAATTTACGAACCTATAGGGCATTTGTGAATCAAATTCACATTGATATTCTGTATGTAAATTGACGTACCATGATATCAATGTTATAATAATATAATAATAATATAATAGCCTATAGATGTAAGTGACAATATTTACTAACTATAGTTGAGAAGTAAATAATAAAAGAAAACCAATTTAAAAGGAATTGAGTCATTAGTAATTACTAATGACGATGATTTATATTTTACAAATAACTTTTGGATCTTAACAGAATACATTTGTAATCTGTCATAAATAACATTTTTTTTTTAATGTTACAATATTGCTTGCGCTTTAATGGCAAACTAACAAACGCAAGGTGCAGGGACCTTAGCGAGGACTGGAGGCAGGTTGCATGGACCCGGTGGTGGGAAGCATGGTGGTGGACATCCGTACGGCGAAGGAATCAAAAACAATTGTGGTAGACCAACTGGAGTTTGGAAAACGATATCAGGTTTTTGGACGTACAGACCGGGATTGAAGAATATTTTTGGTAATGGCGCTGGTGGTAAAACGACCGGTGGAGTCGGTAATGGGGCTGGTAATGCGAAGAATATTTTGTTTGGATCTGGAGATGGAGCGTACGAGATGGATTGTTCCTTCACTACGTTTCCGTCGTTGATGACGATAGGTCCGGGTGCCGCACCTGGAAGTATGATGGGGGCGGGTGCTGGACTCTGGGTCAGTTTAACGAGCAGATTAGCTGCTGGACCGGCTGGAACGACAATTGGTGCGCACTTTCCTTTTACTGACGGTATTTGGATTATCAATGGTCCTGGTGCTGGTCCTGGAGCGATGACCTGAGGTGCCGGTGCGGGGACTGCCAGGGTTGTAGCTACGGTTGGGGCGGGTCCGAAGGCCGGTAACGCGGGTGGTGCAGCAGGGAGGGTTGTAAGGGGAGCGACAGGGGCTGCTGCTTTAAGAGTAGCCAATAAAGAGGCTAGGGCCGCCGGACTGATTGGTGGGGCTGGAATACAAGGTGGGACTGCAGGTAGCAGGGGTGGAACTGGTAGGGCCAGTGGGGCTGGAAGGAGGGGTGGGGCTGGTAGGCACGGTGGGACTGGAAGACACGGGAGTGGAAGTAACGGGGCTGGACATCCACATGGTATTGCTTCGACCTTATTATAATTGAATAACGAGATTATTAGTTTTCTATTGAATGAGATCAACTCAATAATAATGTAATTGCTTACCTTAGTCAAACAAACCACCGCCAGAGCGGTTACAAATCCAAAACTATTCATATTTTATACTATTACTGAATGACAAATAGAATTGTTAATGGTTCTCACAAAACATTAGTACCTAGATATAGGCTTTTATATACTTGGAAATGTTTGTGTTTTCCACACTTCCACATTCCTTTAAACTGATTGTCATTGTTTATTAATTGATACGGTCGATAGAGTAGACGGTATAGTATTGTTCGTTGCCAAAAACACAATCAGTCATTATCCAATTGATTGCAACGTTTTAAAATTAGTTTATAATTATCAAGCATTAATTATTATTTTATTTGTAATAATCGTATAAGTAGCAATACGGGATTATTACGGTTAGAAATATTATGCCATGATACATTAATTAAAAGTTTATTTTATAATTTAGTGTTATTTTCGGCCTTTATTTGATATTTTTTCTAGTGATCATTATTATATAAATAAATTAATAGCCTTATAATAATTTGAAATGAACATTTTGTTTTACTAATATTATAATATCATATTGTCATATTTTATGACATATCTATCTAGTACCTATCTACATGAAATTAATAATTTATTTGGTAGTATATTATATTAATATTAATAATAATGTTTTATTAATTAAGATTTTGTTTAATGGTACTTTTGAGTTGTGACTAGAAATATGCTGAGTACAATTATTTTTACACGATCGTTATGATGAGGATAAAATCACAACAAATTGTTATTATAAAAATTGAGAATATCGTTTTTAATTTCTACTCAAAAAATATTTGCACTCGAGAAAGGATGCTCAGGATGCATCGAAATGTAAAACAAATGCTTTTTATTTAGGCTTTACGTAGGTACAACGTAAACTTTACATTTTTTTCATGATTTTCTCGAAAGCTATGCTCTGAGAAATTAACAAATTATTATTTGGTACCTTATTGTAATCTGCTATCAATTAAAAAATCAGTTGAGTAAATGAGTGATGCATATATTATTTATTGAACTGTGTAATGGGCAGCAAAAATGTCTCCTAAAAAACAGCCATAAATTATTGTTGCTCAACCAAGTTGCTTGAAACTTTGTTCAGCTATTTTAAGTACCTTAATGAAGGCTGCAATGATGATTTTTTTTTTACTCAGTTAGAACTAAATTATTTTTATTTTTTATTTTAGTTTCCAATTCGGAATATAAATTAGCCAACTAAAATCATTGAGAGCGATAATAGTGAACGAATAAATTTATCGTTAAATATTTTATGAAAATATGCATCTGACTATTATCATCATCGGACTTATCTTATCGACGACTTGTAAATGGTTTCCGAAACAAACAAAATTGTTAAACAGCCGATAGCACTTATCCAATCGGTCACAGGAAATGTGCTGGTGCGGATAACAAAACGTAAATGTTTTAAGTATATAAGCATAACCGGATAAATGGTTTTCACGCTTTATCCGCCGTCGTTTTAACGATCCACTCTTTACAAAATGTTCTCATTAAGAGCAGCCGCAGCTTTGGCGGTTATTTGTTTGGCCATGGTAAGGAATAGCATATATTTAATATAAGAGACAAAAAACTATATCACACAAAACTATTTTATTTTATTTTATGTTAATAAGGTCATAGCTGACTGTTCAGCAACCGAAGAACTACTGTCGTTGTTACCAGAAAACCCATTCTTTCCAGATAATTGCAAACCTCTTAAATTTCCGTTTTCATACCCTTTGCCACCTCTTATCAACGACTTTCCGCTCCCAACTATATCTTCCATGTTACCTTTTCCTTTTTCCGAACTAGATAAATCCATTTCACCTCGCACATCCACACCATCAGAAACACTACCACCAACCGTACCAGAATCAATTCCTGCAGAATGAAGACACTTACTAAGACTCGTCTCCAACAGTCACCGCGACCTTATAATGAACGCTTCGCCAATTTTAACCATCAAGTTTATAATATAATATTAATTCCAGCATTGACAATTGCATATTTTAACTGATTTTTGATTATACTTTATGAAGTTGTGTACACATTTTTTTATTAGCTCAATAAAGTACGTTCTGGAACACATGTATTGAATTTATTATAAATATGAGTAATATTGTTATTTTATGCAATCGATTTTGGTAAAGAGTGAAAATAGCTGTCAACAAACCAATGTTTGTAATATTTACTTCGTAAATTCAAAGAAAAGCCTTAAAGTAGGTCTTCAAACACTCACAAAAAGAATAATTAAACACATTATTGTAAAATTAATACATCTTCGGACTATTGGAGCAATTAAAATAAAAAAAATAAAATAAAATAATTTGAATATTTTGGAAATAATATGAAAATAAATTTATAATAATAAATTAGTTATGTATACAATATAAGTACAACAGTGTCTGCCCATCTATAGAGATCGTCTAATGAAATGTCGACACCTTTATATGATAGCTTAAAAAGAAAATTAGAAAACTTTAACGAATATAAAATAAGAAATAGGTATATAATCTATTATTTGATTAAAAAATCAATATAATATCTACCTCTAATTTTATAAAATTCACTAATCACAACATTCAACCACACTGTAAATCAATAAGAAATTAAAAAATGTATGAGGTTTACCGATATCATAATCATATTGTTACGATAGTTCACGAGACTTTTATTAGGTACTTAAAAATATATATGATATACCACAATATTAAAATGTACAATGATACTGTATAGTATGATCGTCGACCGACGTACGAATTGGGCAGATAATTTATTTACCTTTTTGTGAAGATCACAACAAATGATGGGAAAATTGTTGGGTAAAAATATTATAAAATTTGTATTATTAAATATTAAACACGCATTGTGTACGTAATACATGATATTATATTATACACACACGAAAAACGAATCGTATATAAAACATATTACTACACTAAGCACCTACCTAAATGATAACATTAGAGATATTGATTTCGATTGAGTACCTTCCTATATAAACTAATACGTTAATATATTATCATAGGTTTTGATGGATATGTAAACACGGGGAAATTATATACAATTTTGAAAATCTAACAAATGTATTTTCTTTAGGTAAGTACTATTATTAGGTTCAAATTTGATTATGTTTCAAATGTTTACTTCTAAGACTTATGCAATGTTACGACTTATATATACACAGCCACAGCGTCAATGACCGTTAAAATATTTAAAAATAATCGTTTTAAAGTGTAGCAGGTATGCTGTCGTAGAAATGTTTTTGGATGTTTGAAGAAACACACAACAATATTGCTTAAAACAGCAATAGGAACTACTATGTTCTTATAAACAGACTGCAGTAGAGTACAAATTGTATTCAATGACACGGGAAATAACTCTGTTATGACTTAAAAATAGAACTTAAGTCATAACAATAAATTTAAAATTAAATTAAAATTGAAAATAAAAGATACGGATAATATATTTAAATTTAAGAGATTTTTTAAACCTCGGAGGATTTTTAAATTTGTTGATTCTTTTTGTTTTCACTATTTCATTGTTATTGATTGAAATAAAATTAGATTTGTAATATTGTACATATCACTATCATTGCCACTTATGGGTTTCAGTAGGATATGTATTTGACTATTTGAATGTGGTTAAACAATTTTTTATAAATTATATTTATATTATAATATGTGGTATATTATTTGTAGATAAACATATTATTTACAATTTATATTCTATATTTTTTCCTAAATTTAATATTTTCTTTAAAAATAGCTATTTTTATAAAAAAGTTGTTTATTTTATAATCGTATAAATTTTATCAAAATTTAACATACATTGTTAGCACAATTGAGTGATAACTGAAGACATACATGCACCCTTGAAAATATATGTCATAACATGTTGCCTGTGTGGCTGTGTAGTCTTTGATTTTGTATTTTACATTGAAATCTTAAAAGTGAAATGTAGGAGTGTGTTATATAATATACGGTGTTATATTATTATACTGTAGGTACCGATAGTTCAAGATATGAGGTAAAATGCAAAATAATTAAAGCTGACAACCAAAATATTGCCAGTCATATTATGTTTTTGGAAAAAGTATAATTATTAAAGTACAAAATATGTTTCTCAACAAAGATAGAACTACAACGACTGAACAATACATTCAGATATTTTAAATTGATATATATATATATATAATATATATGTATTATAAGCAGCTAGTTGATTGTAATAATCCTTGAAATTGTATGAATGCCACAACGAATAGTTTATTATTATTTTTAAATGAAAAATTGTTTTTGTTTTTTTATTAGGTTTATTATTATAAAAGTCGACTTAATATATTTTCATATCATTATAAGAATCAAATCAATTATTAACCATAAACATAAAAAAAGATTGATACATAATTTTACAAAACAATATTATTGCTATCTTATCTATAGGTTGGGTCAGTCGTTCAAAGATATACCCGACGATGTTCTAGCTAATGATATATATTGTCACACTCGTTTACGGTTGCATCACGTACAACAGTCTTACTCTCGTGAAATCTTCTTCATTTATCGTCTCATTATATCCAATGAATTCTAAAAAACATTTATAAGGAAGTGTGAATCCCATTATGAGTGCATTAAGATTAAATTCGTTATCCAGTCAAGTCTTGGAATGAAGTTTTCGACTTTAGTTGCCTGCTTGATTGTGTGCCTCTCGGATCTTAAGGTAATAATATCACTATGACATTTTGTGCGATCAAAACATAAACATTACATTTATTTCAATTTGTATAAATATTGAATTATACTATTATAGGTAGGTACATAGTTTTTCTGTAAATACTCTTAAATAAACAACAATTGATAAAAAATTAATTATGTCAACCGATAATATTATGAAATTATTTTTCGGATGATAGTTGAAACTTTGAATTAAATATTGAAAATTATTTGTGTCTTTTTTAATTAGGGTTCCGATGGGATTTCCGCGGTTCCTTGTTCCCAAGCGGGCTCAGATCTGCAAGGCAGCTTCGTAAATGCGGATCAGTCTCCAGTCAGCACCTCACCATTAGCACCCCTATTAAACAATTTATGTTCGACGTCAACACTCAACACACTACCCCCTTCAGCACTCGTGTCAATCGTAAACACGCTGTCAGCAACACCTGAGCTCTTCAAAACGTTGCCACCTCCTACGCTCGCAGCTCTGTTGAGTGCTGTCTCATCGTCGCAGCCGGTGCTGAATGAACTATTACCTATCTCAATTCTCGTCTTGCTTGCCGCTGTCTCTTCAGCCAACCCCACGTCGATTTCCAGTGTACCGAAAGACGTGCTATTTCCGTTGTTGAAGAAGTTGTCCTCTTCCGGTCTACTGCCGCCGATTGGTTCCGTGAAACCGGACACAGTTTTCACTCAACTACCGCCCTTGCCACCACCGGCACCACAAATCATAGTTCCCGGCCCAGCCTTAGGTCCCATGTACATAAATCTACCAAACAAACCGCCCAGACCCCCGCCAATCATCATACCAACTGGACCCCCACCATCTATCGTCGTGTCCATCCCCCAACCGTACCCAGCCCCACCACCTTTAATCATGCCTTACGGTACCCCTGGACCAATAGTGATTAACGAAGGACTGAACACTGGTCCTCAATCCACTCCAACTGCAGTATTACCCGCCCCTGAATCACAAAAAATATTTTTTACCACACATCCGTCAAAAGCATGCCTCAACTCGATCAACGGTAAACAATCGTCACAAGACTATTGTCAATCACAATTTGAAATTCCGAAAGTGTATGCGTTACCACCCGGTGTTATGCCTAACCAATATTTCCAGCAGTTGCTAGAAAAGGTGCCTAAAAAATGATTATGTTTTCAATAATTAAAACCCTTTGTAAACCGTAACCAAGTAAATAAATTATGAAAAAATTGTATTGAAAAATGTTTATTTATTGTTCTAATTATCTATAAAACCGATATCACCCAGCAAAAAATGAACAAATATACGGGGATATGTACCTCAGTTCACGGTTATAACGATGCCTAAATACTTACATTTATGAACTAATATATACTATTCCATTTTCCTTGAGCCAAAACAAAAATGCTGCGTGAGTCCCCCTAGCTATAAACACTCTTCGTCTTTTAAGGACTAGGTATATCTTCCAATTTGGACTTCCAAATCACTATCTTTCGCCCTCAGTTTTACATGCTATTTAATGAGTTCACAAAAATGCGAGTTACCAACCCCTCCTCTATCACCGGATATGATATCATTACCACCCTTGAAAATGTCTAGTATAGTATGATAAAAGGGCATAATATTATTGTCAACATTACACGAATAATACATTTGGTCGTTTAGAGTTCATTATTGGACGATAATTAATAGCTTACTAGATAACAACACATAATATCATATTAATAACTAATAAATAGTTTGGTAATAGTGAGTTACTTGTTTGGAAAAGTAAATAATCGATTTATTAATATTTAATTGCAATATGGATATTTAAACATGGTGTCGTATACAATATTAAGTAGCAGTAGGTACCTAAAATAGCTATCCAACGGATAAATCGTAATAAATCCCCGATAGGTACGTAAAAAGTTACAAAACGACTATTGATACAAATAGAAAATTAATTATTACATTTACGACTGGTTAATATTTCCCACTTAATTAGTTTTGTTAAAGATAATTGATTACAAATTGTAAATAAACATTAAGCCAATGTAAAATATTTTATATTTAAAAAATAATGCACGAGGTATCTTATAAACTGGTTACAAAATAATATATTATTCAATTATTTTCACAACTCTATTTAGATACTAAATTTTAATTTAATCTTGTATATTAATAAATATATTCGATTATTGAATTTGGAGCTTCATATTATTTATAGATATAGGGGTTAACACTATTTAATTTTTAAAGACAACGATAACAAATATATTAGATAAGTGTGAAGTTTTTTTAAGACACTGTCACAAAACTTATCGCTGGTAGTCCAGTAGTGGATGTAATGTGACATACACATAACACTGTAATACAACAGTAATATATTATATTAATTCAAATAAATTAAATAAAACATGGGCATTGGGGGCATGTATAAACAAATTATAATTACAAGGAATCTATTTAACACTTGCAGTTAATAGAAAAACTAATGTTATTGAATATGAATCATATTTTAACTATAGGTTCTGCATAATATTATGCAAAACTACAATCATTATTAATTTTAGTACTGTTATGTAGCATTGGTACACAACCTTGAGTAAACGAGTAACTTACATTAAATATTTTAAAAAAAATGTAATCGTTATTTTAATCACTTGGTTTAAAATAAGAACGCAAATAAATAATAATGTAATAGCTATATTTTATTACTAATAGTGGATTCAGTAATATCACATTATATTATAAAATCAATTACATTATTAATTCTGGATGTATATTATTATTTATTATACTAAATACAAAATAATAATTTTTCTTAACAGGGATTGATGAAGCAAACAATATTATACTAGCACATTATTACAAAAATTGTTTTTATACCTTGATTTTGTACACCTGCCACATAAAGCATTGTTACTTGTATAAAAGCGTATGTTCAAAACCTCAGTTTTATACTCATATTACTTACTATTTACGTTTTTAAGAGTATATGAACAATTAAGGATTATCGATTATCAGTATAACAGATTTTTATAACATAATATATTATAATTGAGTATTTTATATATTGAGTCTTCAAATACATAAAAATTTAAATAATATAAATGTGATGTCGACACTGTCTTTTTATCTCGTATGGAGTTGTTAGGATAGAGACGAAGCTTAAAACTATGAAAGCAAGAATGTTGATAGAGGCAAACATGGACGTGGTACATGATGACCGTATTGAAGTCGGTAAAGTCCAATTTTTTTTGTTAAACAATATTCAATTAATCATAATTAACTATACATTCTTAATCTGCATTCTGGATAGCATGGATGAGTAGGAAGAAATGCATATGGTGGTTGACTAGATAAACATGGTAGAGGATTAATGGAGTTATTGGAATTAATATTAAATTTGGTGGTGGTAAGAATCATGGTGATGGACAATGTAGCAAGGAAGGGAGATTGCATGGCAGTGGGCATGGTGATGCTGGTAAGAAGCATGGATGTGGCAGTGGTGGTAGGAAATAAGGGTTTAGTTGACAAGAAGAAGGTATGGATAATCTCCACATGGAACTGCTTTAGCCTTTAAATTTAAAAAATAAATATATTGTTAGATATTTAGTTCAATTAAATCACAAAAATTACATTCTTACCTTCGCAAAATAGGCTAACGCCAAAATCATAACTCTTGAGGTGATCATTTTTTTATAAATTAATATTACGAAGAACTAATGAATGAAAGACAATATATTATGTTTGTCAGACATTGAAGTAATTAGACTTTTATAGACGATAAACAGAATAGCATTGTTTTTTATTCATTCACGTTCTTTTAAACTGATTAGAAAAATAATCAAAAATAAATGATCAATGATATCTTATCATCCTCATTTATGAGATATCAATAATGTTGATGATATTGAAGTTATCAAACAAGCAAAATACACGTTAACAGTAAATAGGTAATAGGTACACAATATGAATTGATGATTAAATTTTAAATTTTAAAAATAATTTCAATAAATTCAAAAATAAATATGGTAAATTTAAATAAATTGTAAAACTTGGTATAACTGTATAAGAATCTACACTCCTTGTCCTTCTCAAAATCTTATCAACAATAAAAATGTATAACTTGTGAATGTAAAAACTAAAAACACTTGGCACAGCATTTTTCTTCTGAACTTTTTTGTCGTTTACCATGCTCAAAGTAAAAGCATTTTCCACAAAATGTAAAAACAAATTTTGGAATACTTTTTAGTTTTTAAAGTCAACATCCACTTTCCTAATAGCACTGAGCCACAAATTACACAGTTATTCACTTTTAAGAACACAAAAAACAATTCTTAATTATTTAATGTCTTAAAGTAAATCTGTAAATTGCTCAAAATGAGTCAAAATATTTTTAAAATTTTATGAAGTACATAAATTGATAATATAAACATATTATGGTATAAACTTCAAGTATCAGTAGTTGTTCGATTTTGAATTGCAACAAAATAATAATAAGAAATAGTGAATATACTCAAGGTCGTAAAATGTCATAAAAATTTAATTTTACTTTCCGGTAGAATTTTTTTTTTTTTGATAAAAATGTTCAAACTCATAAAGAATTCTGTGTTCAATTTTTATGAATTTCTAACTCAAAATAATTCGCTAATTTTCGTGATTTTCAACTGTGTCGAAATTCTAAATTAAAACTCTCATAAAAATTATTGTGAATTTATGCTCAACTATGTTTTTAATTTCCACTAACAACAACTCACGAGGAACCTTGTATTACATTTTCAAGTTTTTTGACTGAGCCAAAAAATTTTTATCGACACAAGTTCAAAAAAACAAATAATAATCGAAATGTTCATATTTATAAATACCTATAAATAGTTTAACACCAGTGAAAATTACAAGTATATTTTTTTAGAGTTATATCAAAAACCAAATTCGATTTTTTCAGAAACCGGGTTTCCGTAAAAATCCCGGTTTTTCTTAAATTTTTTTCTTTTTAGTACCGCTTTTGAATTTTTTACTTTTAACTTCACCGAAGAACCAACTGCATTCACTTTTCTACCAGAAAAGTTGCTGTTGAAGAAAATTGAAGCACTTTTATTGTCTCAAAATATGACGACTGACACAATAAAAATAAATAAAACACTACTACATTGCAAAATTAACACATTCATCGAAGAATCTAAATTAGAAATGTACTATAAATAACACCTTTGTTTTTAAAATAAACTATTTCATCACAGATTCATATGGCACATCATCGTTAATAATGGCATGTACACTATTTAGGTACATATTACTATAACTGAATAGAATTGACTTACAAATAAGAAATTTTAATACTTTGAATTATTAGAAAAAAATTTTATCTTCTTTTTGTATTGACGGTCAGTGGTTTTCTTTGTATTTAAAATTTTTCTTTTCCCAATATTTTCTATAATTCTTATTATTTATGCCAAGTAGGTATACATATTACGTATGACTATTAAATCCAATTTATATTTCTGGATTGTTTTAACACGACTAAAATACTAAAGATAAATTCATTAAACAATTTTTTTTTAAATTTTACTCTTTTACTGCATGTAAACAAATTATAAAGCATAATTAGTTAATAAATCAAACATAAATAATGTTGACTAACATAATTTGAATTTAATGTTATTAATTTCTAAGGAGGAAATACATTTATATTGTAATGTACACTTCATTCAGTACCCGTATAAAAAAATCATGATATTCATAATTGTTCGTGTCAAGTACTGTGTGTTTCTTTGTTTATAATTAAATTTTGAATTAGCCAAACATTAATTAGTTGTATTCAAATGACTTATTAAAAAAATAAAATAAATAATTTATTTTCTCAAAACAAATACCAACAATGACCTCTATTATAGATTGTTATTGAAATACACTATATGTAACACTTATATATTGATATCTATATCAGTTGATAAACATAAGTATGTCACAAAGATATTTTATAAAAAAAAACGTTTGATTGATCGCATATCCGTTATCAATTTAAAGGAACGTGGACGTATGTAAAACAAAATACAAATCGTACGGAGTATAAAAGTCGAGCTGTTCTGTGGCATCGCATACAACGTTAAAAGTATTCCAATCCTCACATTCGTACTGTATATTAAAAAATATAATAATAACAAAAAAATGAAAAGTTTTGGAGTCATAGCCATCTTGGCATTGGCTTGCTTAGCTAAGGTAAGAATTTTTTTGTATACTAAATATTATTACATTATAATTTAACAGAACCAATTAACTAATTATTATGTATTTCGATAATTAGGTCAATGCCACTCCTTGTGGTTGTGCCCCGTGTGCTCCACTTCCATTACCCCTTGCCCCACCATGCCTACCAGCTCCACTCCCATTACTCCCTGCTCCACCATGTCTACCAGCTCCACTCCCATTACTCCCTGCTCCACCATGTCTACCAGCTCCACCGTGCCTACCAGTCCCACCCCTTCTTCCAGCCCCACCAGCCCTACCAGTTCCACCCCTGCTACCAGTCCCACCTTGTATTCCAGCCCCACCAATCAGTCCAGCGACCCTAGCCTCTTTATTGGCTACTCTTAAAGCAGCAGCCCCTGTCGCTCCCCTTACAACCCTCCCTGCTGCACCACCCGCGTTACCGGCCTTCGGACCCGCCCCAACCGTAGCTACAACCCTGGCAGTCCCCGCACCGGCACCTCAGGTCATCGCTCCAGGACCAGCACCAGGACCATTGATAATCCAAATACCGTCAGTAAAAGGAAAGTGCGCACCAATTGTCGTTCCAGCCGGTCCAGCAGCTAATCTGCTCGTTAAACTGACCCAGAGTCCAGCACCCGCCCCCATCATACTTCCAGGTGCGGCACCCGGACCTATCGTCATCAACGACGGAAACGTAGTGAAGGAACAATCCATCTCGTACGCTCCATCTCCAGATCCAAACAAAATATTCTTCGCATTACCAGCTCCATTACCGACTCCACCGGTCGTTTTACCACCAGCGCCATTACCAAAAATATTCTTCAATCCCGGTCTTTACGTCCAAAAACCTGATATCGTTTTCCAAACCCCAGTTGGTCTACCAAAATTGTTTTTGATTCCTCCACCGAGTGGATGTCCACCACCACCATGCTTCCCACCACCGGGTCCATGCAACCTGCCTCCAGTCCTCGCTAAGGTCCCTTTACCTTGTGCTTGTTAAATGACTTTGTGAACATGACATTTTGAATGTTCAATTCATTCAAAACAATAAGAACACATTTACGAAATATTATTGAACAATTTTGAACATAAAAATTACTCCGTTTTAAATGCTTATATTTGGGAATTTAATAAATGCAAATGATTATATGAAACTAAACATCATATTATTTTTTTCATAAACTGATATTATATACCTATGCATTTTAGTACAAATTTTATTTTATTGATTCAAGAGCTTATGATCAAATTACCTATGTTTTAAATGAAACATTTTAAAAATGTATATCCTATAACCAATCTATAATATTGATAATCAATCAATAAATTCAGTATTTTATATTATTTCTAAAGTTTAAACAGGTACTTACTAATCGTTTCCTTGCCACCATTCGGTGGATGGAAGATATAAAAATATTGTTTTGATTATATTTTTGTCGTCGATCAAGCTGTGAACATTTGTGTTTGCGTGCAAAATATGGTCGCTTATTTATTAGTTAGAGTGTATATATTATATACTATATAGTATATAGGTACTGTACATATATTTAAAATGTAAGTACCCCTGTTTCTTTTGATATTTTGTTGTCGCTCGAGATGCATTAAGCGAAATATTATTATGATTTATGATCGAAGTGTTTAAATATTTTCTACTCGCTAAACATCGTAAATTTATGTCCAAAAGTAGTTGAATCATTACAACCATTTTTCTGGTCACTAACCTCGATCATGGTTAGTCAGTAAGGTAATAAGCTTAACAGAAATTATTAATTATTGACACCTCATTATCAATATTATGGTAGAGCAAACGTTGTAGAACGTAATTTTAAGCAATGATTGTTTGATTGATGTGACTCGGGTAAATTTTTATTTTTGTTAAATTTCTTCAATTAAAAATATTTTTGTTTTTTTTTACTCACGTCTGTGAAAGTACGAATATAATTAACTAAGCATAATAAGTAATAACTTTAATACTATCGTTGTATTTGAATACAAATACACATTTCGCAAATTAATGTATATAGGCATATTAATTAACAATTAGGTAGGTCTACTATATAATATTACACAAATCATTTTTTATTTAATGATTTTTTCATATCGTTCTGATGAAATTGATGTTGCAGTTCATATTAATATAGTAAGTAGTTAAAAAAAAATTAAATATTTCAAAACTTTGAATACGATAAATACTTTGATTTAAATGAATATATTAATATAATTTTTGTTATTTAATAAATACAAATGTATAAATGAAATTAAACAACATATTTTTTTCAACAATTAATATAAAATATGCATTTTATTACTCAAATAAAATATACTTATTATGGTGTATCGCAAAATTTATTTTTGATTTAGTATTTTTTTTAACATCGTTCTGAGGAAATTGCTTTTGCAGTTCATATAACAATATTTTCGTATTATTAGGTAGTTCAAAAAAATATTTTCAGATAAAAATGATCTTTGTTGATAAAATAAACTGTTATCGTATATATTATTATGCTGTTTTGACACGTTTACGGAAGTACAGATATAATACATTATAGGTACAATAACAATTATAATACAATTGCTGTATTTGGCTATAAATGCACATTTTTAAAATTAAAATTTTTATTTATTTCCATTATCAATTTTAAAATTACAAATATTAAATCTACTGGGAAGCCTATTATCACGATTAGGAAGTTAATCATCGTTCAATTGTATTGTAATTATTATAATGGAAATAAATAAAAATAATTTAATTTATAAATAATTAAATTCTTTTGATTGCAATATCATCTTAAATTATTTTGTTTATTGTGCTACAGGCTATCGGAGAAGCAATACTTCTCTCTTGACGAGTGATTAACGAAAAGTCTAAACTTTTAATCTGCGGAAGATAGAACAATACTAGAGAACGATAATTGACTAGCCGTGATATGGGATTTCCGTGTAGAGTTAATGTTCGTAATTTTAAGAGTGATTTTAGTTTTATAACGTCCATAATGTCATTTATTTGATTTCCATGCATGTACAGTATCCTCAAATTTTGAAAATGAAGAAACTCCTGAAAAATAAATTTGATAATAAATTTAAATAACTATTTGAGTCATATTATGTACATACACTAATAATTCATATGTATATTAATATTATTATATTTACTAATATTCTCTAATCATAAATAATTAAACATTGGCGATGCATAAATAACTAATAAGCTAAATACCTAAGCGTTTCATTAGGTTTACATATAACAAAACAAAGCAAGATAATGAAGTAGTTGGACAGATGAAAAAATCTGTTTTCATAGAATATTTTATTTGGTGACCTAGATAAACCTTCCCATGTAAATATGGAGAAATTAAAACTTTTACAGATTTGAGTATTTTACTTTAATATTTACATGAATAATAAATATACTTATATACATGTGCAATATATTATACTAAATTAAAGCCAAGATAAAAAAAATGTACAACTTAAAACTGTGAATTTGAACATTTTCAAAATTAGTTCGTTATAATAAATGGATTGGATGACTATAATAATATATATTATGATTTCAAAAAGAACCTTCATTTCCGTTTATAAATATTATTACATTGATGAAAAAAATTATAAAACGTTACGCTTATAACAAATTAAATCAAATACTTATAGTTTATTTTGTTTAAGTAAAAAATCATAAAATTGATCTCATTATTAATGTCTGAAATGATTCATTTACAAAAAAAAGTGGATGTAAATGGATCAAGCACTAATAAAATAGGCCTTGTTCAATTTAAATCAACATGACCCGAATAGTTGATCTACAGTCAAATCAGTCAATATTTAGTTAATATATATATAATCCTATTATAATGTCACTCAATTCTAAAAAGGTACCTGTATAATAATTATATATATGAATCACCTACACTTTAAACATTTAATAAATAAGAAATAAACATTGCTAATTTATAAATATATTTATTTATTTTTTATAACGTTTTCTTATTGTACACGTAATTTTTTTTATAGACTGTAAATCTTTTTGCCTATTATTTCGTTTGTCTATTATTAGTATTATTATTTTAAGCGTATCTAATGTTATTTGAAATTTTATTGTTAATGATCAATGCATACCGTATTATTATACATGTATAAGCTATAATACTATATAAATTATATATGATAATCCAAGGTAAATTAAGAAATTAATAAAAATAAATAAATATATTAAGTATCTTGTATCTTATAGGTATCTCAGATATATGTATCTTGTATCTAGTATCTTTAAAAAATATTTTCGTATCTTGTATCTTGTATTTAGATACTTTTTTGAGGTATCTTGCAAAGCCCTGTATGTAGCTATATGTGTTCCTTATAAGGGGATTTTTACTGAGTGAGTACACAGTCTTTGAACCTTTAATTTTTTACTCACACAAAAGTATTTACCATGTAAATATTGTCAAACATGCTGTTAAAATATTTGAAAAATATCTTTTGTAAACCTTTGATTTATTAAAACCTTTCAATCAACCCGAATTAGTAATTTCAAGTTATAAAAGAATACAAATTGTTTAAGTAGTCATTTAATTTAAAAACATTATTGTTTTGTGTTAATAAAATATGTGTTCGTGTCGACATTCCTCTTTGAACTTTCAAAGCTACGAATGAACAAATATATACTACTTACTACTTAGATAGGTAAACTACCTAAAATAAGTTAACCGTGCGCACAACGACACTAAAAGATCACAAGGTTCCTGGTTAGTTAAGTAACTACATACGATTTTGCGTATTTTTAATAACATAATAACGTATAACACAAGTATTTTTGTAGGTTTTCATTGTTCTCAACTAAAAATGGACATTTTGATAAATTAGGTATGATGTAGATGCCAACACCGAAAAACCGTGTAGACGTGTTGGATAAAATATTTTTAAAAAAATGATTTAAATACATGAATGTCACGTGAATAAGACGTCGAAGATGATAAAAACGGGATTACTGTTTTAATATAAGAACAGTATCGCAATTGTTGTTCGTGTTGACCTTGAATTTTATCAAACAATTGTAATGCGTTAGTAGGCGCAGTTATTTTTACCTGACCAATATTTTTAAATTCGTTATAAGATACGTCAATCCAAGTCAAATATGCCGGCACTTCGAGCAGCTCTTCGACTGATTTGTTCAAGCCTTCTAAGCTCGTCAAATAATTATTATTCAGCCAAATGGCTCCACAGATGAATCTCTTGTTGACGCCTCTAACGGGAACTCCGTGGACTCTGACCGACAGCGGCGTTTCGTTTATAAGTTCTGAAAAATAATTAGAAACAAATAAATCGTGGGTACCTAAAGTAGTGAGTCAGCTCAAAAACTGTCCACGATTTTTTTTGTAATAAGATTTCTTAATGTTGAACTTGTACAGTATTATGTATGCACCTACCTACCTTGGTAATGAGTGAAATGATGAAAATAATGAACGTGTAAATATTCAAGTTATAGGCATTTAAAGCTGAGCATTATTTTCTCAAAACACAAATTTCTGAGTCATTACCCCAATAGTGTAAATAATGTTCAATTGATATAGATTATTCAGTCTCATTTAAATTCTTACTGTCAAGTGTCCTTAGGTTCTTGGACGAATAATCCAAAGGTTTCCCAATTTTAATGTCTTGTACAAACTTAGGATCAGGTAATTGAATTTTTGGCACGTTTTGGCTTGAATCATTCATGGTTGTGAATATTAACTTATCGTAGGTATAATCGTATATAATTGTGTAATGTGTGCCTAAATTTTAGTATGTAAGTATATTTAAAAAAAAAAATGTGTTGTATTGTAAATAAAAATAAATTAGTGGTTTTAATAGTGTACGACATGTGTGTATCCAAGACAATAACGCGAAATGTGATAGTATTGTTTTTTTATTTTTTGAAGCTCGTAAACCGCAATCCACAAAATCCTTGACAATTAAAAAAAAAAAATGTATTTCATACAATTATATTAAAATTATCAATGAAATATTAATATGTTATTTAATTCTAATGTTTTTTTTAAGTTGTATTACTTATAATTTATGTTTAAATCAACATAACAGTATTATTGGTATAATAATTATTTATCTAATATATAACATTACAAATTTGATCCACATTAATTAATAATAATTAGTAATAACAAATGTTGTTAGGTACCTAGTTAGATATTGTCTTATACATTTTTCAATTATAGTTGTGTAATGCAACTTTTACTAGGTATATTTATAGTTCATACATCGTTAATTTTCATCATAAGTTGCTCTCTAATTCTAGGTATCTAATTCTTACATCTTATTCTTATACAGTTATTTTTATTATAGTATATTTAATTTAACTTAAACAATAGTATGTGCCAATAGTATTGGGGGCTAATTCATAAAAAATAAAAATAAAAATATAATAATATATTACTAAAGCAATAACTTTAGAAGTAAATAAAATGAAACTTAATCAAATCTTATAAATATTCTATTTTGGCCAAATGCTTTTAAACCTAACTTATTACTGACCATAATAATGTCCTTAAAAATAAGTAAGTTCTAAGTCTATATTATATTTATGTTACTCTGGGTTCAATTTAAAAACTATAAAAGTGAGACCAAATTTAAGTAGGTCATGATTTTTTTATGTAAATCGACTTATCATTTTAATTCGATGGTTGCACTTGTATTACCGGACTAGCTATGAACTCGAGATTCTTAAAATTTTTATTTCTCTAAATACATATAGGTAATTTTTGTTTATTGTGGATCAGCCATTGACGTTACCATTAACTAACGACTAAAAATAAAACGATTCAAAATGATAAACCGTTAAAATATTATAAAATCTGTATTCATGATATTGTTATCATTAATCCAGATACCTCCCCGCGGCAGAAGTCTTACACTTACTGACGTAAAACGTTTGAGAACCTTTGCTGCAACCATACAGACCATCTATACAGACTGATGTAAGATTATGTCTAACAAATATTGGCAACGCCTATAATTTGTTAGCTTAAATTTTATTTCTCAACCCTTATTACTATCGATTTTTAATTCAAAATTCGAAATACCTAACGTTTGCGTATAGTATCAAAACTTCGTGAATGTAAGAATTTAATTTTTTTATTTTTAGTTATCCATGGTAGTGGTCTGAGATATGTATTATATAATGATAGATCTCGGATACCGACAGAACAGACACATTCTGAACGCAGTGGTTTGGGTATAGGCAGTTTCATTATTCAGTTATAGGTAATTATGTCATTCGGTTTGATCATTATAATTCGACGACTTTGCATCGGCTTCCTGCAGATTGAGCCTCGACTCGGTTTCCAGTTCTTCCATTTCAGCCCAAAGGTCGTCTTTGTGCTCGTACATTTCCATGTGACTCGAAGTCAGCCCCTGGACATCAACCTCAGACATTTTGTCAGATAACAGAAAACTGGTGTCGCACGAAGACCTCGCTCTAGCCACTGACCTCGTTTTTGGCAGACGTGGCAACATGCCACCGATGATCGGCAGTATTTTGTTTGACAACCACAAAGACTCTACGTGAAAATCATTACAATTTAAATAAAATTGCATAATAAAGGCACACGAGTAAAAAATATCAGCAACACGGTGTATATCACGTAGGATATAATATATTATAATACTGTGGCTTGAATCTAAAAATGCTCAAATCTCATTTCAATCAAATTTAAAAACTAATTTTAAAAATTTAAAATTTAAAACTCATTTCAAAAATGCTAATATATTAATACACATGAATAAATATTGTTTATAATATAATATGTAGTAAAACCATTCGTGCAAAAGTTAATTTTTTTTATGTATTTTGAAAGTCGTTATAACTAGGTTTGATCCTCTTAGAACCGAGCCATCATACTATCACATATTTTATACTATAATACATTATTGTTGCATTATATTGAGTGTGTACGAAGTATAAATTTGATGGGTTGGATGGATGGTTTTCTCGAGTGTATAATACTAACTTACTGCATATCTTGTTTTGTAGTTCAACTGATTCAGTGTTTTTGTAAAATGGGTTTTCAATGTATATGCCACTTTGCATGCACTTCAAATGTTCGAACACAAAATATCCTTTCCCGGCAACCTTAAACGGCATTATATTAAGCATGTAAGTGATGGTTAAACTTTTAAATGTTTTATTTTAGATTAATATTTTCCTTCAAATGACGTATGTTGCCCATATACATTATACATCGTAAATCATAATAATATAATAATAGGCATTACGGCCCAATATTTATAAACAGTTCCAAGACTTTTTTCCAGAGACAATTAATGCTGGTTGGAATCAAAGTGGATGATTTATTTATTTATAAATATTTATAATATCACATTTTAATCTTCGATGTTTTAAAGTAAGTACTTAGCTATTTAATTGTTATTAAGTTGCATATTTTTTTATTAATTTATTTATATAAATTAGTTGTACATTGTATAATATTACGTTATTATTATTAATTATTATTAGCTTATTTATTTTTAAAGATTTCTGACTCGTAATTTCACAAGATCTATTCGAATATTATTGGTTTGATATTTTAGAACAGACTTGTTTTTTATTTGATTTTTACAAGAGTTTAAATAATTGGTATTTTAGTGCATGAATTGTATTATTTTACAGTACGTATTATTGTTAAGTAGGTACTTTTTAACATTTTGTAGAGCATAATGAGTCAGAGATTCTACTCATCACTCACCAACTCGTTATCATCCCACGTGCCGTGAAAAGTGAAACCAGTACCGTCACCAATCGGATAGAAAACTTGAAAGTTTTTGACTTTTTTGTCGTTCAGCCACAATCCCTTCAATACGGCTCCGGTCTTACAAAACGTATAGGTTCCCAATCCATGTTTCATATCAGATTTCCACGACCCGGAAAACTTGTCGTTGTTTTTGAACTTGAAAACCCCTTCTCCATCTTTTTTATTGTCTATCCAAAAACCTTTTCATAGGATGTTGTTGTGTGCGACAAATAAAAATCATCGTTTCATTATAGATAAATATTTATTATAGGTAAATATATTTATTTTTTAAATGTGTGTCAATTACCACGTCAGAATTCATAAGGATTATTACTCATATTAAGTATAAACTCAAGGCCGTACCTGGGGGATCAACCTCCCCCACCCCCACCCGAAATGTATTACGTTATATTATACCATGGTAAAATAACTCTTTCAGTCTAGAATACAGCTTTGGTCAACGTTATAGATAACAATACCTGATAAATTCGCTTCGGGTGTATCAACTTGATATCTTGATAATATTATACATATAATACATTACCACCAGAATGTGTTATCTTAATAACCTCCTCCCCTTTCCCCGAAGTTAATTTCCAGTTACGGCCCTGAGTATAGTATTAAGGGCCACCTTCATATTTGCTCTTGTCATTATAAACCATCACTCCTTTTCCGTTCCTCAGACCATCCCTATAACAACCCTGGTAAATGGCACCGTTCACAAATCTGTACTGCCCGCGGCCGTGCCTCTGTCCGTTTTTATACGTCCCTACATAGGCGTCGCCGTTTGGTAAGATGGCTTTTCCGAATCCGTGTCGCTCGTCGTCGCTATTACGTTGGCCTTTGTACGCCTGAGAAGCGAAACAGAAAAGGTATTGGAGCAGGACGTGGATAGTACCTAACCAGTAAATTAAGGTAAGGTGTAACGATTTGGACCAATAAATTAAAAACATCATCTGCTGATAACGTGGCAATTGGAAAATCTATTCCGATAGTGAAGAAAATATGAAGTACTTTTGAACAATACTACAGTTGGAAGGTAACTTAAACAATTTATAAATCTATGTAAGTACCTAGGGACTGACTAAAAAAAAAAAAAAAAATGTTAATAGTAATATGAATATTCCCATGTTTGATTTCTATATTGCTATAATAATTTAACCATCATATAATGATAAACGGATATTACCCCTATTACAGATAGTGCATCGTGTTCTAAATCGCTTTCGCCGCCGTACTCGTCTTCTGGCATGACGTATTCGTGCATACCTTCATCATTGACGTCGGAATTATATCCTGTATTCATGTTGTTTTATTCTCAAAAAAAAATATTATACCTTATTTAACAGAATACCTTTAACGGCTTTCTATAGGACTATTATTATACATGCATAATATTATAACACAACTATTGAGGTTCTACATCATAATTTTTAACTATACCTAAATATACAGCTTTGCTAGGTAACTGCTCTATTGTTATATAATAAACGCTCGTGTTGTACAAAAGTGTCATAAAACCTATGGATTTTTCTGGTATTTGTGTTATAGGGGCTCAGTGTCTGTCGAAATCACGTAATACATGATTAAATGTAAAAATAAATATTATAATGCTAGTGGGTGGGCTTGTACCAGTTGCCTTCAGAAGTACCTTTTTTTTATCAATCCCTCCAAACTACCAAAAGCAAAATGCATCAGTTGCCTGAATCAAATTCGCCAATTTTTTACCCACTTATTATAATTTACATAACTACAATATAAACTCGTAAAAAATATGAGGTACTTTCATATGTAAATAAATAAAAATTTAAAAATACAAAGGTACAGTAAACGAATTTTTATTATATATACAATTGTAAGCGGCAAACAATATAATTAGTAAATAAATAGTAAACAATTCATATACATGCAATTATATATTAAATTGCATTTTTACAATCGTATTTTTTCGACAAATAACTTTGTATGTAATTATAAATATTTTATGTAATATTATTTTATTTCATGCATTATTTTTATATATATGTATATCATTTATTATATGTATATTTACCTCACCTTTATATTTTTACGGGTTGGTATTTTAGTTGGGTATATAATATGTGAGAGCAACTGGTATATTTTTTTTATGCCAAAAACAGCCGCTGAAGGCAACTGGTCAGCCCTTGTAAAGTGTTTCCACAATATTACATACCGGGAAAATGAATCATGTCCATAATAGATCACGATCCCAATTTTTTTTTTTTTCATATCGGTTTGAGCAAACTCGTTTCTATTATGGCACGCTACTTATATTCTTCCCGATCCTCTCCCCCGATCACAGCAGTAACATTACAATGTTTGATGTTAAGATAGGATGGCCATTTTAAGAAAATAAAAAGCGGAACTGTTGGTAATCCCCGTCATCCCCTCATCTCCAAAAAAAAATTGACATCTGTTCTCGATCCTCCTTCCGTGAAAATTGTTATTTGTTATTCTATGACTTTGGTCATAAAACTGTTTTATATTTGTTTCGTACCTATATTGATTTATTTTAAAGATACAATGTAATAATATGGAAAAACAGGATTAAGACCAGCATAAAAAGTGTCCTGTCCGAAGTTTGTCGGGACACCGGGACATGATGGTCAAAAAAAGGACAATCCTGTTTTAAACAGAAGGTCTGGTCAAGCTGTGTTAAGAACGAAACCAGCGGTTTCCAACCTTTTTCATTCGACGCCCCCCTTAAATTAGAGTTAAGGCAATTTTTTTTGTGAGCCGTGCAAATAAAACATACAAAGTAACTGGGGAATTCTCAATTCATTATTCTATTGAATTGTTTTTTTATAGACTATAACTGATTAGTATCTATAGCTTTAATGGCTAGGTATAGTGTTATATTGTTATGTGGAGATGCAGTTTCCTAGTCTACTGAAGGACCACCGCCGAATGGGGGTCATACATTTTGATTAGATTGAGAGTCTATACAGTGATAGGTTTGTAAATTTAAAAGCCAGTCAATAATAATATATAGGTAGAGACAACTGGTGAAATTAAAAATGTATCAAAACATTCGAAAAAATCAAACCGGAATAATATTAATAAGTAAACAGACTATCCATTCACGTTTAACATTCATAAGCCATAACATGTTTGTACCCATTGTAAATAATAAAGATTTACAATTATTGTTTATGAATTAAATTGTCAAGTAAAAGAAATTGTTCAACTATTTTTTTTTAAAGCTGGTTTAAATCTAAAAAATAGTAAAACACCAACAAGTGTTTAGCTTAAAAATTATGTAACTTTTCGATATTTTTGCCCATGAAAAAATATTAATATAATGTTTAGAACTATTACGCCTTAGTAAATGTACTAGTAGCTCAAAGTTTAATAGTAATAACAATAATAATATAAACAAATCGTATCACCCAAATGCAGGTAAACAATTATGAAGAAAATTAATTTGAAAATCAAATTGAAATTTGAAATAGTGTACAAATAACATAATACTTGGGCGGTATCAAGGGTGGTGAGAAAGGTAGAAGGGCAAGGGGCGAGTATGGGGCTTCTGCTTTAAGAGTTGCCAATAAAGAGGCAAGGGCCGCTGGACTAAAAGGTGGGACTGGAAGACATACAATCTCACATTAGTAAAATAAGCCACTACTAAAGCTGTTACGATTCCAAAAGTATTCATTTTTGTAAAATAATTTTATGTGGATACAAGATAAAATAAAGCATTGTAATTGTTTCTGTTTTATATTCAATCAATTCGTATTTTGTTTTCGATATTTTCACGTTTTTTTAATCTGGTTACGGAAATATGACAAAACACGTATTTGTTTTATGTAATGAACTATTGTACCTATATTACACTGTATTGATACCATTATTTATAAAAATTAATCAATTTGTTAATCTTATAAAATGAATAAAGTCATTATTGTTTTAATATTTTTGATTACCTATATAGACAATAAAGTAATATTTTTGTGCATATCTCACAAACAGCGGTTATGTATATTATTATTCGTATTTTTTTTTAAATTCATAGCAACATTTAATTATTATTTAATAATAATATTAGTAATACAAATTACAAGTTGGTACTTGTGAAATCATAACACATAATATTTTTGAAAAATGCAAAGTTGATTCGTTATGTAGGTTTATATTTGTATTATGTTACATAATAATAAAAAAAGTAATACGTAAGACAAAGACTGTTGTTGGGACATAGGTGGAAATCTTGGGAGGGCTTGGATGTCTTAGCCCCCTCCCCAAATATCCCATCAGCCCCCTCCAAAAAACGGACTGCTTTTTAGTTGTGAGGGACCGAAGCCCCCTGCTCATATCAATGTCGAAAATGTTATCACTCTATCCCACTTCCTTAAACTGTAATGGATTTCTGCTTACAGGTTGGGACGTACTTAACCTCACATATTTATAATAATGTCATATAGTTATGAAAATTAATTTAAGCTTCCAACCAGTTTTAAGCCAATTTGTATCAACTTCTTATCGGAATATGTTGAATTTAACATTTTAGATACCTACATTTATACATTTTTTAATAGATATTTTAAGTTTAAACTTGAACGAAATTAGATATTTAAACATAAAATAACAAATTTAATTTTTTTTTTTTGTTATTAAAAATTATTATTCGTGGGTACTTATAAATTCAATATATCAAATTACATGTTTTCTTCCAAAAATTTATTCAACCTACTTTTTTACTTATACCTAGTAAATTGATTACTTTAATATCAATATATTATTAAAAATATTTATAGACTACCTATAGTAATATTAATCAAATAAGTTGATGGACCATTTTCGGCCTTAGCTCAGAACCATTTGTTTTTTGTACACAATGATTTTATATAATTTAAGCACAATTTTAGTTTACAGGTAATTAAAATCTGGAGGGTTTACAACCGCTCTTCATTTAAGTGCCTCATATTACTCCTAATTTGCTCCAGACCCCGATATTTTTTTAATTTCTGTTGTTATTGGAATTGTTTTTGTATACAATAATTTATCATTGAGTTAAAATTTTTGTGACTTGCCCCCGGTAACGAGGCACGCTTGACACCTACTATTCGGGAGCTCTGACTTACTGATTTTTCAGTTATTTTAACTTATGATTTAAAACAAAGTTGATTTATGATTTTTAAGATTAGTTGAATAGATACTATTCCGCGATTGTCTGCTGCAAAATCTAATAATTGAAACATATATCTCTATTATGATATGTACTTATAAAACAAGCCATAGATTACTGAAATCAGTAAATTAAACGTGAATAAAAAAACGTGAAGTTTTGAAAAACAAAATATTTACGATTTGAGTATAAAAGGTAAGCCTTACTAGCAATTTATATGTATTATTCGACAGTTCTTCAAACAATTACATACAAAATGAAGACTTTTAGAATTGTATTTGCTTTGGCATTAGCCTGTTTGGCTAAGGTAAGATGTACTTTTTAATCCTTACGCACCTGAATACATTATCTAACAATTATTTTTTTTTTAAGGTTGAAGCAAGTCCTTGTGGCCCATGCGGCGGATTACCATTCCTTCCAGATCCTTACCTAGAACTTTTCGCTCTACCGCCACCACCACCACTTCCACTTCCACTTCCACTTCCACTTCCACTTCCACTTCCACTTCCACTTCCACTTCCACTTCCACTTCCACTTCCACTTCCACTTCCACTTCCACTTCCACTTCCACTTCCACTTCCACTTCCACTTCCACTTCCACTTCCACTTCCACTTCCACTTCCACTTCCACTTCCACTTCCACTTCCACTTCCACTTCCACTTCCACTTCCACTTCCACTTCCACTTCCACTTCCACTTCCACTTCCACTTCCACTTCCACTTCCACTTCCACTTCCACTTCCACTTCCACTTCCACTTCCACTTCCACTTCCACTTCCACTTCCACTTCCACTTCCACTTCCATTATTGCCACCATGCCCACCACCACTTCCACTTCCACTTCCATTATTACCACCATGCCCACCACCACTTCCACTTCCACTTCCATTGTTACCACCATGCCCACCACCTCTTCCACTTCCACTTCCATTGTTACCACCATGCCCACCACCTCTTCCACTTCCACTTCCATTGTTACCACCATGCCCACCACCACTTCCACTTCCATTGTTACCACCATGCCCACCACCATGCATTCCACCTCCAGCATTGGTACCTGTGCCAATTGCACCTCTACCTCCTTTCTCAATCCCATTATCTCCACCTTGTTTACCACTTCCTATCGTATGCTAATTGACACATACAGTTAATTGCCGTCATTCTGCACTGTTCTATATGGACATTTCAAATCATTCCAATTAATCAAAACTGCAAATTCACCCTATAAATGTTATAATATTTAAAAATAATATTGTATCTATTTATCAAATAAATGTTTCATCTCATATATTTTATCTTTGTTATAATTTTACAACCTTATCATAAATGTTTCATATTGAATTGATACATTTTAAGTAACCTCGGTCTTATTCAAAAAATGAATAATTCGTCATTAATTATGAGACAAGTTAATAATTATTGACTATAGTCCGTATTATAATATCTCTGATGTTGTACACTAGTATACTTGATTCAAATAGCTGCGCACTTTTCTAAACCATGTTTATACTACAAGATGCTGTGTGCCAGCTCAAAGTGTAGAGAAACATTTCACATATTTTAACAGAACAAATGATGAATGTATTAAAAAGCAATATATACACAGGTGTATTTAAGTATTTAATGCATAAATGTCTAACTAAATATGTATTTTGTACAGTACATATTAGTATATTTGTCTCCCGATAAATAACGTTTTTGTGTTACTACCGTGGGTGGATAGGCTCATTAAGAAATCGGGATTTTCCCGGTAGGCCCCCATAAATGTTATACTCAGAGGCCGAAATCCCAAAAAATTTTTTAAAAAAAATAATAATATAAAAGTAAATTTTTATAGTACTGGAGGCTCTACAGTGTTAATACGTATTTGTTTTGTAATATTTGTATACTTCATTAAGGCCTATGGGCCTCTGTATACACTCGTCGATACCCGTATAAATACATATCTATTTTGTTGTATGTACTATAATTGTGCTAAAATTAAATTATGTATAAAATGTAAATATAAATAAATATAATTGATGTTCGAATATCAAAAATAAACAACCCTAATAATAATTAATTTTTCAATTAGTGATACCTAAGTATGACATATCTACTATCTGCGTTTATATACAAACCTTGGTACCAAAATAAATTCGCTTTGTTCTATTTTTAAACAATGTGTATTAATGTGAATATCTAAAATATCATTTTCTCTTACATCAACATTAATAAACAGTATAAACTATAAAGTAAGTAAGTACAATAGTCAATAATATAATTTACCTATTCTTACTCTATGCATTATCATGATAAAATATAAGACATGCATTTTTATATTATTTACAATTGTATACCTAATTTACTTATTACTGGAACTTCTATTAAATTAAAATAAACATCAATATTTTTTTATTAACATTTTGATATGGATTTTTCGATTTAATCGGGACGCAATTAGGCATAAAAGAAGGTATACAGAGACGCAAATCGGCCATGACCTTTTTTGAATATTTTTTTGCGGGACACAACTCACCTACTGATAAAAATTTGGGATGCAAGTAGTATGCTCGCATCCACCCATGGTTCTTACAAAAGATCTATAAAATTACATTATACCTGAACATGTTAATAAATAACCATAAAATATATGATAGTAAAACAACAAATTAATTAAATTGAATAAGCTCAAATAAGTCCATTTGATCAATTTAAATACGGACAAAACACATATTTTAGTATAAGTTGGTGCCTAATACTAAGGTACACTATTATAATATTATTGAACTAAATACTTCATGTGTGTATTTATCTTAATAACCTACAAGTTTGTAAAACATTGTGGTGGGTGTTGGAATAAAACAATAAAATAAAAACAGACAATAAAAATAAAAATAAAATAAAATTTTTTGAAAGTAAAACCTTACATGACAATAATTATGCAAATAGGTAGACTATTCGCGGTTTTTAAAGTTTTTGTTATTTATCCGCACTACGAATCTGCCTTTCGGAACAGTTTTGGTAACGTGCCAGTCAACGGTCGCAATGTGGTCGTCGACGGAACGGCATACACCGGGACGAATAAGGACATCAGTTTCTTGGACGATACTTGGACAGCTGGTGAACAGGTAATTATCGGAGAGGACGGGGTCGTTGACGTTGTCGTCGTGGTAGTGGTTTCGTCTTCGATTTTGATCGATGGTGGTGGCGGAGGTGGCCGTGAAATGACTCCGACGGCCCGGATGAGAGGGCGTAAAACAGCCAATAACTGATGCAGCGCATTCGAACCTTCCCGAAATTCGTTGGATGACATGATAGTTCTCAACAGATCAGCAGTGGCGTACGCTTTTGTCTGTAGTGTCGAGAATCTAATCGACAGCGGATGGGTCGGGTGGCCGGTCTGCCTGGTTGAGCTGGACTCCGAGTTCCGCGGCGTCACTATTGGTGGTGCCCGGCTGTCGTGGCAGTGCTATAATAACGAACGAATTATTAGTCATCAGTCTTTACCCATTATTTATATTCACTATTTACAGCACTAAATCTGAAATAAGGACTATAATATAAATTATTTAGAAAATATCAATAACAAAAAAATTAATATAGGTATATATTTTGTATTATTAATTATTATTTATTGATTATCAAGTATAATATACCCAGGTACATTTTAGGTTTAATTTTTAATAAAATAAATTGATTTCCTAATTTATGACCTTGAATTGTGTCTTTAAAGCAATACCATACAAATTATCTGAGCAACAAATACTGATTAATTTGATATTTGTTTACTCTTTTTCTACGTAAATTCCTTTAGAAGTTTCATAACTAGTATTTACAGTTCATAAAAATAAAATACTATACAATTTCAATTTTAAACGCTAATTATCACAAATAGGCCATAGTGCCAAGACTTGGAATATATTTGAAATAGAATAGTTCTTAAAATATGCAACTTAAAATTTTTATTTTGAGTCATTGACGTATAAAATAGATAACACGATTTCATTGCTTATTTGAATTATTTTGTTATTTTCATTTGTATTCTAAATAATTAAAAAATGTTTTAGAAACCTAATCTTGCTTAAAATATAAATTTACATCATATTATTTTATTGTATTTTCAGAAAACTCAAGCACAGTATGGAAAAAAAATTTCTGAGGATTATGCATTTGATAATTGTTTAATTATTCAATGACATTTTTTGAAAAACCTTGCGTACGATCAATATTTAAAAATTCTGACAACTGAACTACGTGTGGGAGTGTGGGACTGTGTATCTCACACTATTCTAAAGATAAATAAATTGTTTTCTCAAGATAAAATATATAAATTACTAATATTGATAAAATTTCTTCACTTACGTGCGCCACGACATCCATTTAACATGCATACCAATTTTGTTGATTTAAAATATTTTTTGTACATTTAATTACCTATATTGTAAATATCAAACATAAAATAAAGTAAAATTTCAAAAAAACAACTCTTATCAGTATTCTGAATAGTTTAACCGACAGATGTCTGATAATGAAATATCATGTCAGCTGCAAGAATATCAATTTTTAAAAAAACCAGATTTCTGAAAAAAAAATTCTCAAACGTATTGGTATGTGTGTAGTGTGTACCACGTATATATCTTCTCGCTGCAACTAAAATTCTAATTTCTAACCCTTGGAACAATGAATTACGCGTATACTTGCTGTTCGGAAAATAAATTATGATAATATTGTACATACCGTAAAGTGCAATTGAGTCACGAGTACCAGTGTCCAAGCTACAGTCGAGATGACTTTGAAGTCCTTCATGTTATGATTAGTATTTGATATTGTATAATGGTATACACTTTTATTATTACTTAATATGTTAGCACCGCGTTTAGACTACGTCTGCAACCTATGCAGATAATAATAATAATAATATATTAATATAGTCTCTTGGTTTCTATAAATTATTATATCATATAAAGTGTAGGTACCTCCCGAGCGGTCAGGTTATGCCGGACTCAATATCAGCTAGAGATAAGTCAATCTGAACGCGCGCAGGTAGTCGTTGTAATGCACGCACGTGTCTATGTAACCATAAATGTCTGTATATTATATATATTATGCTATATGAAAATGGTATTTTATCCGGTCAAAATATTGCATAGATAACAATAATTTAACCGTCTGCAGCCGTCATCGCTGCCAATTTTCGGAGAGTTTTTCCACAACGTGTATGCTACCTACAACTATATATTATTGTAGTGCTGTAACTGCAAGAAAAGTAAATCATAAAATTAATAGTTTTATTGAGTAAATGAATGCAAGCTTAGTGTTTGCTCTAGGTAGGTAGCGATTTTTAAATTAATTATTCGAACTATTATATTATTCATCCAAAATATTGTACAGTTTAGTTTCACAATTATTATTGTATCCCAATACACATGTCTATACAAATTTTGCAATTGAACACGAACAATTTTTTTTTGTTTTCTGTAAACAATTTTTTATGACACCAGAAGTGCTCGAAATATGTTTCACGTCACATTTATTGACATCGGAGATCGTGTCTGCAATGTAGAATTGAACGTGCCTCGTGCGTGATGGCTGATGAGAAATGTTTACCCTAATATAATTAAGAAGAATAAACACATTTAAATTATATTGTATTATTGTCAGCGTGATTTAAATCGAAGATTGAGATGAGGGTGCAAAGAGGCTTGATGCAGATTCAATAGCATTCGTTTGAACATTAAATTTATTCTTCAACAGGTACGTTGGGAAGCTCAAATCTGCAGAATTGAAATAGTTCATCTTTATTAAAAAAGTGTATTTATTTTCTATGGTGTATCTACTGGTTTACCAATAAGTATATCAAGATAAATATATTATATATTATAGATATATTCTACCAAAAGTATTTGGTTTGATTCAGAACATTATACTTGTGAGCTGTGATAAGGACAATGGTACTTTAGTTTCTTTTATTACCTAAGCTGCTGGTTAAGGATGTGTAGAGGGACTGTGCTTAAAAACCAATAAGTAATAATTATTGATTTAAATTGTGTCTAGTTTATGACTCAAATCTTCATGAAATATAATTTTCCAAAAGTGCCTTATTTTTATTTATTTACTTTTTATAATTTGTAGGAACATAAAACGGTTAATATTGTACAAATATCACAATCCCACTTGGTCATTTTTCACCACTTTGAGCTCATTTTATTAGGGACTAAATTTAAAGTAAATGTGACAAATTAATCGGTTTAAGTGATAAATTAAAACAAAATAATAATAATAATAAAATGATAATTATTAAATATTATCTATTTAAAATATAGGTTATAAATGTTAAGTACCTACAACCTACATCCTACACATTCTTGTATCACAATTATTTTGTGAAACAGGATTTGATTTTTGAAAATATTCAAATAGAATTTTTTGCTTGTCTATTTTTTTCAAATGACTGAAACAGGTGGTTGTTGATAGCTTAACCCTATGACTAATTTCATTGAAATATTACCACAGACCTGCAGAAGGCTATACTCAATATTAAGTTAACTTTATTTAGAAATGCTTTTTTTTTTTTGATCGGAGGTTTCCATTCTATAAAATATGCTGTAAATATTAGGAGAAAACATTACCCTACACCTGCAGTAAGTAGTCAAAGGGTTAAGATAAGACATTTTTTTAGCAACCGTCTTGAAGAAAAAAATACTTCTGCCAAATTCCTATCTTTACTATAACTATTAATCGTTTTTATCTAAAATTTCAAATATTATCATTATCGATACAAACCTAACAACGAATACTATGGTATAAAATGTCATTAGTCGATTATTTATAGTGTTTTACCCATTTCCCGTGCATACTGCACTTTACTTAAATACTTGCGTAGGTATTTATCCTCTGAGATCCATCGACGTAATTGACCATAAATATTACGAGTTCACATTTAGTGACGTTGTCTCGTGTAAGATGTGTCATTTGCTTTCCCCAGTTCCGTAATTGTTTCAAATAGCATATTTTACATACGAACGATAGTATGCGTTAGCGCGTGACAATCAAATAGTTCAACAGATATTCCAAGAATAGGATAGATAAAACAGCAAATACCTTAACGCAACGTTTAATGAAATAATTCAACATAGGAAGTTTTTTTTTTTATTGTAACAAAACCGCTGAATAATATAAACACATTATTAAATGGTATTTTTTCGTTTTATAATGCATTTTATCTACTTCAATATATATAGTTACGTATATATAATTATTATCACAACGGTCTAAATTATAATTACATAATATTTTTTACGGTGCAAAATAAATAAATAGAAATAATAATTAATTTGTAAATAAATCACAATTTTACAATAATTATACAGTACAAAAAAAATAATAAATACATTAAAAATGGAGATGTGTGTTTTTTGAAAAATAAACTGGGCTGTTTTATATCGTACAGTGTATTAACAAGGAACTTTGGAGAATATGGGTGGGCATTTAATTGGGTTTGCCTGCACCGACACGGCCGGATAACTCGGAGTTAGTTTTGGCAAGTTATGTTTTGGCAAGCTAAGTTTTGGCAAGTTAAGTTTTGGTAAGGTAAGTTTTTGAGGTGGAGCGAATAGACGTTGGTGAACAAAATCGAGGATCCGGTTAAATGAATCTGGTTTATAATAAAGTTTGGTTGCCTGTGCGGATGGTATTTCCGGCTTTCCTAGCACCGGAGCGGGTAAAAGGATAAACACCTTTGATGGTTCGGGATTGACATGTATTATCGGTTTTTTTGACACAGTATTACCTACTTCGGGTATATGAAGTGGTAATTGGGGCAACGGTGGCAATTGTGGTAACTGCGGTAATTTTAAGTGGCCACTTGCAAACAGTTTAATAATGGCCTCGATTTTTGATTCTATTAGGCTCCCCGCAGTTCCCTTATTGAACAACGACGACAGGAGGCCCAGCGATGGCAGTGTCGGCGATGGTAATGGCAGTGCCGGTAATGTGGGTGATCCGCCGGTGGGCACATCTATACACGGCACTGATGTTCCGACCGCAGGCACAGCTGGGACCGCTGGTGCTGAAGGTGCGGCTGGTGGATAAGCATGCGGTATACCATCGGACGTGGGTAAATCGGCTGGAGGGAGTGGATTTATCGACGCAGTTACGTCTTTGGTTATCGAAACACCAGGCAAGCTAGATGCTGGTCCCGATGACGGAGCGACCGGCGTTATCGATGCTGCAACGTCTTGGGTTATTGAAACGCCCGGCAAGCTAGATGCTGGTCCCGGTGACGGAGCGGCCGGGATAATCGACGCGGAAACGTCTTTGGTTATTGAAACGCCCGGCAAGCTAGACGCTGGTCCCGGTGACGGAGCGGAAGGGGTTATCGATGCTGTAACGTCTTTGGTTATTGAGACGCCCGGCAAACCGGGAGCGGGTCCCGATGATGGAGCGACCGGCGATATAGACGCGGTAACGTCTTTTGTGACCGAAATACCGGGCAAACTGGACGCGGGTCCCGATGACGGAGCGGCCGGCGTTATCACGGCTGCAACTTCTGCACTTACAGATGTGATCGGCTGTGGTGTAGGGAGGAGTTCGGGTCCTGACGATCCGGCGGGTCCCGTGGAGTCAGGCGATCCAATCGACAGCGAGTTGCTGATCGACACGAACAATGTCGGTGGTATGGCATTTGCAAGCGTCGGAACGGCCGTTACCGAGGTCATGAAACCCGATAACAGGTGGTGTGGTATGGCGTTGAGGATCGCCGGGTTGCACGACAACTGCGTGAGGAAGTCGATGACCAAGAACGGCGGGACGATGCACAGCAATTTCGGGTTTGACGTTAAAATGGTCAAAAAAGTTATGGTTTTGTGAATTGCTAGTTTAGTCTTCAAGTCGGAAGATTGGCCGAATGTAGATAGTGCGGAAGTTTGTTCAAATCCCAGAGGCGACGACAACGGTGATTCCAAGTGCATAGGTTTGAAATGTGCTTCTGTGCTCTGTGAAAAAAATTAACAAAAACAAAAAATGAGCGAGTGTCAAACAAACCGATTAAACAAATTAGTTATACGATGTATGTATAATGTATATAGACGATTTAATAAAATATAACAAAAATATTGTCCGATTTTTAAATATGTTATACATAAACAAATAAGTAACGCACCTGTATTTTCAGAAGTGTTGCTACCAAAATGACAAGTAACGCCGATTGTTTCATTTTTATTGTCGAATATTAATTTAATTTTTTAATTTTTTTTTTTTTTTGATATAATTATTAACATAATAGACCATGTCAGAATGAGTCGATTTTTTGATTTCTCTCCCTTTTATAGTATTTGCCACGTACTTCCGAACATACCTGGGTTTGACGTAAGATAGTCTATAATCGGTCAAAATTATTATCTCAATTATGCAATTAATTTTTTTTTCTGTAGACAGACCCGACATTAAGAACTAGGAACAAAATATTTTATCACATTATATATGGCTTATAATAATTTAACGTGCATTTAAGAGTAATTTCTAAATACTAACATTTTTTTGTTAGTTTTATTTCGGTTTTATTGAGTGAATAGTTTTGAATAGCAAACGTGAATGCGAATGACCGTTATTGTATTCGTCAGATTTTTTTAGGTAAGCATAAACTGTATCTTAACGTTATTTGTAACTCACAAACACCATAATAAACCTACTGAAAGATGCGTTTTATAATAGTTAATATTGATTTACGGATACAGAAAAATCTAAGTTTGTTTTTTGTCCGTCAAATATTAAAAACCATTGTAAGCAGGGTAGTATATTTCAAAACTGTCATCACAGCATTCAATTTAAGATTGGTGGATTGATTGGAACTACCTACATACCATATGTATTAAAAATAATTTGTTTTGGAATTTATCTTTTTTTTAATTAAGGTGAATCAAAAAATATTTTACATTAAAAAAATATGGGTACTATTATAATATGAGATAATATTTTTTCATAATTTGCATCTTAAAAATATTAGTATTAAAAATAGTTGTTGACTAGGAGGAATAAAGTATACAAGATTTCTGTGTACAAATGATGGTACAAAGTGGTACTTATAACAGAAACACATGTACAGTGCTTGTCTTAAGGTATCACTGTAAAAAATCTTTATAATGAGCTACTTTCAAATATTATTGACTTTATTAGTTTATTTATTTATCCACAAACAAAAAAAAAAAGCACACGCAACAAAAAACAATACATTTTTGATATCAAAGTAAAAATATACAGATTCCTCGAACTAAGTGAGCTTCTGGTATCGTCTTTCAGCCCTTTCCAAAGTGTTGGGCTATAATATTTCTGTCTCAGCTCATCATTTTTTCATCTGCGTAAATATCAATTGACAAATACAATATTATTTTAATGGAACATTTATTGTAGATACATAAAAATCATGAAAACAATTTCATGAATTTGAACAAAACAACATTCTAGAAAAATAATAATTTTTATAATTATTAAATAGTGTTATTTTTATGTATGCTCAATATTTTTCTTAAATTTAAATAAATTCGCAGCATCATTAATATATTTTTCATTCAACAACAAAATTACTAATTTCTGAAATTTAAAATAGGAGACGTGACAAATATGATGACGCCGTGACATCTAACTTCCTCTTAAATACCTACACCACAAAACTTGCATCATCGTATTTGTATTTAAATTTAAATTTTTTAAATAAAAAATATAAATATTAAATGTGTACCAATATGAGGTGATTCGTAGATATTATTAACCAAAGTTGTAAAGGGCACTATAAAAAAAAAACATAGTGATACATACATATACTCTAATATATAAGCCTTTAATATTTGGTGAGTGGACTGGTGGACTATCATTTTTAGGGGTACCTACGACCTACCTAACGTAGAATGCCACTCTGATTACCTAAACTTAAAAATTGACTAGTTTAAAATTCAATCGTCTCATTATATGAAACTAAAAATGCACCTTGTATTAAAGAAAAGCTTATAAAATAAAAAAATTATAACGATAAGAAATAAGTCAAAAATATAAATATTTTCCTTAAATTAGAAAAAATATTTTGATAAATGTTACTTCTGTTGGAAAAATAATCACTTTATATATAACTCTAGATCGCGGTTTAAATGAATTATATTACATTGGAGATATGCTATCATGAAATAAAGTATTATATTTATTTTGTCGATACCAATACAAAATAAATTAGATAAGTATTTCATATTAATGTCTAAAAAAAAGTTATTGTGACACCTATACATTAATAGTAACACTATGCACCTATAATAAGCATATTCATATTTTATTTGTGCTCGTATGATTATTGTGTACTACTAAATAATAATGAATAATAACTAATATTATGTAACTAATTAATAACGATTTTATATCAATATGCTTCGCATAAAATTCGAAAAAAATAATAGTTCTCTTTTATTTTGACATATTATGACGAGTACCTCGCATACGGCTATATGTTATAGTAAAACACATAATATAGAGTGCCGCATAACTCACAGTAATATTAGGTATATTATGATTTATTAAATATTTTATTATGTTTTGTAATCAATATCGACAATAATAATGTTATAAAGTCAAATTCCATCAGCAGCTATATGATTTACGTAAATCGTGCAAACCTATTTAATATATAATTATAAACATGTACTGCAAATATTATGGCCTACATATCTGTATTTTAGCTTTTTTCTCGTACTGTCATATTATATTTTCAGTGCTCAATATTTTTTTTTTTGTTTGAAAAGAATGACACGATTTCTGTTGCATACATGCAAGTAATCGGGTGTGATAAGATCCATCGCGCCGGCCTTGTTTCGCTTTGAATGACTTATAAGTAATATATTTACTGATACACCAATATAAAACAATATGGTTTATGGTGTTATTCCGAATAAAATGTTGTGTGGTTTTTTAATAGGTCCAAAGTAGAATATTAGTATGATATACTTCAAAGTTATTCGATGATATTAGAATTCAAGTTTTTTGATCCGTTATTTTTTCTACTACATTTGAAGGTTTTTCTGTTCTAAATGTTCTTCTGTTCCTATATTATTCCATGATTACATTCGATCGTATAGAATTTGACATTTGTGCGTTTATTTGTATTTTAATTTATGTATTACATAACCAGAAAATAATCGAATATACCAATAGGCTATAAATTAAATTGTTTGAAGAATAACAGTTGAAACAACTAGTTTTAAATGAATATGATTATAGGTAGGCATGTTACACAATAAATCGCTGGACGGTCTGGGCGAACAAATAGTTATCCACATAATATTGTTCAAATATTGTAAATCACTGAAAATAAAATATTCGTCTTATTTCTTAGCAGCGACATATTATAATAATTTAAAAATCTACAAAAAAAAAGATAATAATAATCGCAAGATAATAAATACATAATAATATTGTTATTCCTCATAGCAGCTTTAGTACACCCAACTTGAAATATTATAATGTTGTCATCCTTACACCGTTTTGTGAGAACGTAATTATTAGTTATAGTACCTACACCTATCCAATTACCAAGTATTAAGTATTGTATACCTACGCAATGTTTCATAAAAAAAAATATTACAATAATCAGTCGTGTTACTATACGAGTATTATATCGACTGTATCATAATATCATTAGCCATTGGCTATAAGTCACATATTTTAATCGTCTACGCTTAATAAGATAATAAATGTTTGTATAATTCTTGTGGAATATGTGTTTATCAGCGCGATGATAATATTATAATATGAATATACAACTGAATTTATCGCACAACAACTATACTGACTTCAATAATAATTATATAGAACAGAGATAGCAGTTGAAATTTTAATGGTAACATTTGTGACATACTGAAATTAATCTTCTTTCTATGTCTCTATGAGATTAAATATTTGACAAATTTACAGATATAATCTAGACTCTAGAGCACTACAAAGTAAAAATCCAGAAATGTCGACGACTAGCTTAGATATTTACTAGGCACTTTGTGTCACGATGGACATCAGTTTTCTGTTAATTCAATATTATTTGATTATACACATAAATGTCAATATTATAGTTTAAAAAACACTTCCCTAACCTTCCCGATGTACGTAATGTTTTTTTTAAGTGTCTGGAGGAACTGCTGCAGCTATGGTTCTTAATATATTGTAAACGTGTATTTGAAATGTGTAACGTTAACACTGTGCTTAATTTATTGTGAGTATTGAGTATTAACTAATATGAAATATTAATTAAGACATATCTTTTAACAATTAAAAAATATATATATTTTTTGATTTATTTTATAAATACCTGTCAAGACTTAGAAACAATGGTACCAAATGAAGGGGGGACATAAATCAACCCATAAAATGAACAGTGAAATAGAAAAAAGGGAGAAATGTAATAACTTTCCTTATAATCATTATTTTTAAATATTTTTTTTAGTGCGATTTTGAATAATCATATTATAAAAATACAATAATATAATATTCAAAATGAACCATCCCTAAAGCCTATAGGAACGGAATGCGTTGAAGACATCAAGGTGTTGTTCCTTCCTGCCGATCACCGTTAAAACTAGCTGATTGCAAGTCCATATCGTCCACTCGTCCAGTGTGCTAATATTTTTGTTAGAATTTTCATAGACGAAGTCTGCAATCATTCGCCGTGGAAAACTAATCGTTACAACATTATTATTTCTGGTTTTACAATCTTAGTCAACACAGCCGTAGACGCTAGCCGTGGCTTTTCGACGCTCAATCGCAGGACGACGTTCAACCTTGTATTACATTTTCAAATCTTGGATACCTATATATGAATATTTGATGAATTATTAATTACATAATAATTAGAAAATGTTCTCGATGTTGAAGACTTTTGTCAAAGTTCTAACTTTAAATGCTTAAAAAAAAAATTGTGAATAATATATATGTTCAATATATAATAATTTAAAATGTCAAATGTTCATTAAAATTTGTCAAAGAAATTTAAAAGAGTTATCATGTATACAATGCCAATACAAACATATGGTATACATTTCAATAATCTACAGTAATTCGTTTCCTTACACCAAAAAAACAAAACCGATTTTAACACCACAGCTTATGATCACAATTATTAATTATCATAAAGTAAAAATAAAATATTAATTTAATTTCGAAATTGTATTACGTATTAATGTATTAACGTATTATATTACAAAATAATTTAACATTGCATTTTGAATAATTATTATGCTGTAGAAAAAATTATAATTTAAGAACGAACATACACAATTAC